TTGTTATATATAAGATTAATTATAAAATGTTCCTTCCAAGTTTAGGTCTTGTTGCAGTCGACTCCCTCAACTTTTAAATTTGACAATTTGCACCCTTGATGTTTGAATAATTTTCAATTAACTCTTACCGTTAGTTGACCACCGTTAAAAATGGCGAAAATTTATCAAAAACCTACAACTACCCTTATCTTAAAATAAAAATAAAAATAAAAATAACCAACTCCCCACACAGAAGCCGACAAATTCTTCTATCCCCCTCTAGTGAAACTGACACCCACCCCCACCCAAACAATTGAAATCACCCCCCTATCTAATGAACCCACCATTCCCTCAACTAGTAATACCCAAAACACCAATACACCCCACCCCCATACACCGAAACACGGGTGAACCCACCCCCAAATAAATACCCTCCCTTCCCTTCTCTAGTGAAATCGAAACCCACCCCTAGTAGTAGCCCCCAAATAGACCTAACCCTAAAAGAAATCTATCTTTTATTGGACAACACCCATCTGAAGAAAGAGAGAGAGTGTGTGTGTGTGAGGGGGGGGGGAGAAGGAGAAAGGAAAGACAAAAGGTGGAGAAACGTCTGGTGGTCGTAGTCGAAGGGGACTGACTTTCGAATCGATATTGGTTGTATTTGGTGGGGGGGAAGGGGATTGGGAGCATTGTTGGAGCTGGTATATGGGGGGAAAAAGGGTCGAGGCTGGGAAAAGGGTTCATTGGGAGTATCATCGGAGCTGACAAGGAAGGTCGGAGATATAGGGAAGGGGGTTGGGGTCCTGGGGCACTAACGGAGTTGGGAGAGCGTTAAGTACAAAAAAAAATGAAAAAAAAATAAAATCAGATGTCAGGGTATTTTAGGAAGATAACATTTTCCACCCACTCAATCAATTAATTTAGTCCCAAAAAAACTTTAAAGGGGCAAATTGTCAAATTTGAAACCTGAAAAGGTCGATTGCAATATAACTCAAACTTGAAAGGAATATTTAGTAATTAACCCTTTTTTAAGTAAAACAACATACCACTGGTTGGGGCTGTCACTTATATATAGCTCAAGTTTGATTTAGGATCAATTTGGTTTTGATTCGGTTTGTGATTGAGCATGAACAACATGCCGCATGACTTGATAGGTTGCAGCTCGATTCGTTTATAATATAATATTCAATGAATTTTTCAGGATGCATTTTTGTATTTACTCAATCTTTCCCATCAACCCTAAGATGAGCTCGCAGCAGAAAGTGGACCCTGAGCATATATATATGACTAATGACGCCTTAAAATCAATTTAAAGGTATAATAATATAAATTTACTGTAAATTAACAAAGGTACCTACATAATCTAATTCCCCATAAAACTGGGTTTTAAGCAAAGCGTTCATTATTCTTGGAATAGAATTCTCTTTAATATATTTTTTTTCTAATTCTTTTTCTTAATGAGTCGATTATTATAATACATTTAAATAAAATTCATTACATACAAATAAGTATCTCACTTATTAATGTGTGTATATAAATATATATTAGAAAAGACCTCGATTCCGTCATTTGAGTAGAGTTGATAATCGAACTGAAGTATCGCTCGAGTTTAATTCAGTTTAGTTTGGACTCGAATAATTTTTTAAACAAATCATGTATAAACAAATTTTTTTTAACTTAATTTGTTTATATATAAAATAATTGAACTATTTGAGTTTGACTCGAGTCTTATTTTAAGCTTAATTTAGACTCGATAATAAATTAAACTTAAATAATTTTTTAAACTCAACAAATTAGATTTGAATTTATGAAACTCGATTCAATTACCGAATCAGAATAAAGAGAGAAAAAGGAGGAGGGATACTGCTATTTATTTAATAGAGTAAGTTGTGGGGCTGAATGGAACAGCTCCCCTCCAACCATACAGGTTTCAAAGCAACAGCTCCCCTGGTATTTATTAATCAAACAAAGACAAAAGCACAGTGAAAAAAGCTTTGCCAAATCGAGAAACTGATCAGATCAGGCTCATCAGACTCTCTCTCTCTCTCTCTCTCTCTGGGTCCAAATTACTTTTTTTTTTTTCCGGTAAGTAGGTCCAAATTACTTTACTGGAGAAGTACAGACCTTTGAGAGTTCCAAGGCACTTACTGGCCTCCACATGCTATTTGCGGCCACTGTTTCTCCTTTGTTTTACATGCAAACACGTCATTCCTTCATGCAAAAACATTAAAGACTTCTAATACATTCGATCGACGGATTCATCTAATAATTATTAATATATTTTTAAAATTATTCACATTGCATCGTATTTTCAGACATGAATTATCCCTAATTGCATTACAAAAGTGAACATATATATGATATTTTTTTTTTTCCTTTCAACAATCAAAAATGTCCAAAATAATTTGTACGTATTTTAACTAATTTTTTTTTCGATCTAATCAAAGTCAGGTTATTCATGTGGAGATTAGAGTATCTATGACAGATATTCCTTGTAACTAGATCCTAAAAAATTAATAAAATTTAAATTCAAAATGTTTGAATTAATTTACACACTTGTTTCTGTTATTACTTTAACTACGATTAAAATTGAAAAAGAAGAAAACCCTTTAAGGAATAAGAACAATGCAAAAACATTAAAAAATATATATATATATGCAATCATCAACCTAAGTTGAAGCGACAAAAAGACAAGAAGTATCAACAAAGAATCAATAAACAAAAAATAATTTTTATTTAAATGCTTTTTTTATTATTATTATTAAACATCCAAACAATACTTAATCAAAGAAAGTGCTTTCTTTATAAAATAATTATATAAAAAGTGTTTTTAAAATCCTATAAATCATCCCAAACACCATCCAAGTAATGTCTACCAATTAAGAACGACACCAATTACTTTCCCAAAAAAATAAAAATAATAACGACACCAATAAAGAAGCATCACCAGGAAAACTGAACTGCAACTATTCTTCAGGACAATGCTTCAGAACTTAGCAGTTCTCACAGAGTACATAAATACATGTCCATATTTCCTTAAAGACTCTATTGGAATTGATAAGGGTAACCTAAGATTACGTAACACTCTCCTTTAGAATAGTCGAAAAAATTAGACAACAATCTTGAATTATACACTCACAACACTAGGCCTGTTAATAGATCCGATTCTAATCCGAATACGATTAGTTGGAGATGAATTAATATTTTTTTTATCGATAATCCGAACTCGAATCCGATTTTTTATGTTTACGGATTTGAATTTAGATATATCTATATCCGATTTAATTGTGATATGATTCAAATTATTTATAGATTTTTATATAAATATTAAAAAAATTAAGTAATTTTTTAAAAAAATTTATTTAATTAAGTTATTCGGATCGGATCAAAATTTTGAATTGGATTCGGAATGTTAACGAGTTTGAATATGGATCACGATCCGTCAGATTATTAGATCGGATTCATATTCGAATCGACCTTTTGAAATTGAATTCGGACTCGAATTATTTAAAATCCGATTCAAACTCGATCTATTGGCATACCTACCCAACACAGTGTCATGTAATCTTTAGCTACAATTCTATATATGCTTCCCTCAATTCTATCTAGGAAAGTTACCATAGTAGAGAAATTATGGTTAGAGGTGTTAATTTAGACGAGCTACTCGGGCTCGAACTTGATTTGTGCTCTAAATGATCTGACCTTGAACAATTTTTTGAATTCGTTTAGAAAAACGAGCTTAAAAGACTCGGTTTGTTTATATGTAAAATAATTGAACTACTCAGACTAGGCTCAAGTTCTAAATGAACTGAATTTGAACAATTTTTTAGCTTCGAATTCAAGCTCGTAAAACTCAGTTCGGCTAAAACCCCAAATCATGGAGTTATAAAAGTGGTGTAAGTTTGTCACAGTTTGTTATACCCATATTGATCCGTATTGTGTATTTGGTTGGAGTATTAAGGGGTAAAATTTAACTAAATTAGTTTAATATCATTTAAAATTAAGTTTGGATTAACTTATAAGACCAATTTTAATGATTTTGTTAATACCGGATAGATTCTAAATTATCATCTAATCCCACATATTTGGTATAAACCATTATTATATGATATGTGGGTATCTAAATAAAAAAAATACTCGTATTGCCTAGAGAATTATGCATTGATATAAGTTTTTTTACTTTTTTTCAATTTATTAATACCATATATTAATTCCTCATCCAAACATAATATAATAGAACTATGATAAAATTATTAATTAATATTAATATTATTTTGAATTGAATTGCAATCAAGCTTTCAATCCCATCCGATACTATACCTGAACCAAACATGTATGCCAAAATGTAGAAATTCTTTGCATGCACAATGCATTGTAGTGCCTTTTGCTATTGAATTGTGCGCAAGAAGTAAGCAAAAAATCTTTAGCAACGAGAGATGCAGCTCTTTGGGCAGAAAGACAAAATTGGAACTATGTCGCCATTGAAAGTAACTCTCAAACTGTGGTTCATGCAGTCATGTTTCCACATGTTAAGACTCCATGGCAAATTTGGACAATAATCCAATCCAAGATTTGAAGCACATTCTCAAAAATCATCCTAATTAGAACATGATATATACATACTTACAGAGATGCAAACACAGTAGTGCACGAGCTAGCAAGATAGGGACTAGCCCTCAAGTACACGGGCGTCCTTCCTAATCACCAGCTTCCAAACTTAGTGATTGAAGCATTGTTTAGGGAGACACCCACTTAGTATAGGAATTAGCTAACTCAATTATTTCTCTTTTTTCCTTTATTTTGTACGTAACTTTTTCCCAGGAAAAAAAAAATAAAAGTTCATGAACCATATTAGCATCGAGTGTCAATATGCTACTTACTATGAGTTGGCCACTTTCATTTGAAAAAAAAATAAAAAATGATGCCAGTTTATTCTTTCAGTTCTGGTATCACCCTGCACAGAAATGCCATTGTTTCCTTTTCCTTTTCCATTTCGAGTCTAACCTTATTGACGAAGGTATATGCTATTTGAGAAGGAACCGCAAAATAGCATTGGAACTTGGGAGAAAGGAAAAATACTGAAAAGTTAGTGCCAGGGAAAGAACATAACCAACCTAGCTAGTGATCTTCCTGTGGCAAGGACGAAAACGAAGGGAGAATAAGAGAGAGAGAGAGAGAATACACACGAAACGTCGTAGAAGACGAGAAGTCGAAGTTTAAAAAAGTAATTCATAAAGTAAAAGTTATGATGAAGGCTCTCACTATTTTTAGCTTTGATTCCTTTTTTGGTCAAATTGTTTTGATTATAAATGAAACCTTTATTCACTTCCGTCAATGGACCCAAATTTTGATAGTTCATCTACAATTAATGATGGGAGAAAGGAAATATGAACGACAATTGTTTACATTCTCACATATGTCCATTTATTTTGGAATAGAACTGCCCTTACAAGTTACAATAATCAATTTTAACATGTCTTAAAATGTCTCCAAACCATATGACCTAGGGATCCCATAAATTCCATCATATTCTTTTCTTTTTTATTGTTTTTAGTTTAATTGTTAGGGGGTGCGGATCAGTTTACGTACATCTCTACTAATATCTTATTTGATCCGGCCAAAGATAGATTATCTACGTCGGATTTAGAATATTCATAAGAGATAAATCTATCACAATATTTAAAAATTCTCAAAATTTAAATTCAAAATATATAAATTTAAAGCTTATCACTCTTGCCGCTTCAACTATCAAATATCACCCGATAAAAGATCTTTTTTTGTATAACTTTTTTTTCATCTAATTTAAATTTGAGAAAGCGAAGAAAAGAACAAGTAGCTAGCATGACAGAAAATAATCAGTCAAATTTGGTATTCCATTGTACTTAACTTCTGGTCCGTTTCTTCACAGCGCAGCAACTCTACTGTCTCTCTACCCAACATGTGCATATAAATACACAGCACAGGTAAAATATACAATACCACCGCCCTCATCCACCATTTACAGAGTTGTCATTCAAACCCAACCCTTCAGAGTCCTCTCGTTCAACTAATTGGGCAACAAAGAACGAGGTAGTTTCCTTTCAACTCTTAAAACTATGAACAATCCACACCATCATCACCCTACCCAAGAAACCAAGCCCACTACCACCACCAATACCACCACCACCACCACCCCCAACCCCAACTCTTCCTTTTCCAACACCACTAATACCACCACCCACAACGACACCACCACCAGTGCCACCACAAGCAGTGACAACTCCACCAGTAGCAGCAATAACAACAGGAAGGGCAAAGTCAAGGGAGGTCCTGATAACAGCAAGTTTAAGTACAGAGGAGTGAGACAGCGAAGTTGGGGCAAGTGGGTGGCCGAGATCCGTGAGCCTAGAAGGCGAACAAGACGGTGGCTCGGCACCTTCGCCACCGCCGAAGATGCGGCGCGTGCATATGACCGCGCAGCCATTACACTTTACGGTTCTAGGGCTCAGCTCAACCTCCAGCCCTCTGGTGCTGGCCCATCTTCTCAGTCCACTCTTAGTAGCTCTTCTTCTTCTTCCACTCAAACCCTTCGTCCAATACTTCCTCGTCCTTCTGTGTTTAGCCTCACCTTTTCTTCTTCACCGGCTCCGCCTTCTGCGGCCGCTGGAGTGGTGGCTGGTTACTGTCCATACGGATTGTACCCTACCTTACACTACCCTACTATAGCACAAACACAAAGTCCACAACAAGTATTGCAACAACAACTAGAGTGTATAGGGCCTAATTTCGATGTTGAGGCTGACCCCACCAGTAGGTTTAATTTCCAACAGACTTCTTATGCAAACCCTAATTGTGTGTACGATGAAATCAACTCACTGGTGGGCTCAGTTGGGTCAAGCTTGTCTTTGTCTTCTCAGCCAGTTGTTGCACCGGCGGTGACAGATCTGACTATGACCGCCGGACCAGCATCTCCAGCTTTGTGGCCATTGACAAACGACGATGAGTTACCTCCGGCTAGTATTTGGGACTATAGCGACCCGTTCTTCGATATTTGATGGGTTTTATCAAAGATAACCTGATGACCGACCGGTTTTCAATTTCTTCTCCGGTTCTCCTTCCTTAATTCTTTTGCCAGCTTGCATGCAAGTTGTAAAGGTTTTTCAAGGCTTCACCGGCCATGGCGTGAATTAATCTTCTTGATGGGTTCGATTCTGATACTATAATTGGGCGAAAGAGAAAGTTGCATGGTTTGAATCTGAGATGAAGTTAGGGCAAGTGATGCTATATAAAGTTGCGAGAGTTGTTACTTCTAATTCTTCATTTGGGGTTGAAATTGAATAGATCTCAAGGTATGATTAATTATTATTGCTTCCTTTTAGCATGAAGTCAGTAAGGGTGGGAGATTTTCTCATTTGTTTTTTGGGGTTTGGGAATGGAAATTTTCAACTTTGATTAGGGTTAGGGTTAGAAGCTTTAGTTTGATTTGAATGGGGAAAAGTTTGTTAAGGAGATATTTCATGTATTTCTTCTTCCTTGTGAGAGAAATTAAGATTATTTTTCACTTGTCTGTTTAAGGTAGAATTAATTTTTATTATTTTGTCTGAATGCTGGTGAAAGAATATAAACTCATTCTAGTCTATCTTATGTTTATCTTGAGTTTCATCGATTTAGAAATCACTACTCACTAAATTGTTTCAAGTATAATAAGGTCTTCCAACAACATCCTGTTGAAATGTCTAGATGAAAGGGACGCTAAAGAGATGATAATCCAGGTGCATGAAGGAGTCTGCCGTCCAAACATGAATGGGCACAGGCTTGCCTAAAAAAGGACTTCGCAAAAGTAAAAGACTGCTTGGAGTAGGAACCTTAGGAAGGAACGTGATGTGACCTAGCTCTTCTTCTCCGAGTGAAGAAGAGGAATGTGTTTGGAAATTGGACAGGAGGTGGTGACCCCCCACCTCCCTATAGGCCAATGGCGCCAGACACGGCTATACCCAACGCGATGACGATGACTCCATACCCTAGATCTCTCTCTCGTTCTCTCCCTCCCTCCCTCCTTCCGTGTCTGTGTGTGTGTTTGTTTGTTTAGCTGTTATCTTGGAAATAGCTTAAAAAGTTTGTTTTTTTGCTGTAAAATGGAATATGAACGGACTCGACGCAAATTGAAGAGGCGGTCAAAATTGCTTAAGGATCAAACCCATTGCCTTCCATTTTGATGTCATTGCATGATAGTACATCCTGATTTCCACGTGCCAACCCTGCAGGTTTGGGAGAAATATTTGAAAGAGCAATACTAAGCACACTTGAAAAATTAGTTTGTTTGATTTAGTTGTTGAGATCTATTTAATAATTGTAATTTATCAAGTTAACAAATTATGTCAATTTTTTAAGTACATGTAACATTTCTAAATTAAAAATATAAAAGAAGAAGCTCATAATTTGAAATACTTCATGTTAGTCTAATCATCACTATCTTTCTTAGAATTTAAGGTCGTGAATTCAGAATAGTTGAATCGCATGTCTGCACAAATATCCATTCTAGGGCTCCTAATCCCCATCCTCGCAAGCAAAGATGGGAATTCTTTCCATCTTGGACTCCTAATCCCCATCCTTGCTTGCAAGGATGGGAATTCTTTCTCCCTGTTATCTCGTAAGTGAATGAGGAAGCCTATTTTGAAGCACATTTTAGAACCAATGAATCTACTTTCTCCACTTATTTCTCCCCTTTACATATGTTGTCTCAATAACTTGCGGTGTTAACATGGTGGCTAGTTTGTGCACTTTAAGAGGTTGAAGTTCACTTGCTACTCAGGACTAGGACCGAAGCTAGGATTTTAGGGTAAAACCTAAATAAACAAATAAGCAACTAAAAAAAAAAAAATTAAGTTCAAACATTATAAATATAATAAGATTCAAGAGTTAGTACTGTATAAAAATTAAAACCACTATCATTCTACTTTAATAAAATATATTTTACAAAGCTTTGAAATAAATTTTATTATATATTAGAAAAATCGTTTATAAGTGAATCAAGAGTTGAAGATAAAATTATATTTTATTTTGTTACGATGTCTGGTTGATACCATCTTGTTGAAAAGTTGATTCTTTGGTAGAACATATACCAATGTTAAATTACAACCGAAATGTTTTCAAAAGAAACAAGTGTAATCATATAATTATATTCAGAAGGAAGAAAAAGGGGGGGGGGGGGGGGGGAATTAAAATNCCGAAATGTTTTCAAAAGAAACAAGTGTAATCATATAATTATATTCAGAAGGAAGAAAAAGGGGGGGGGGGGGGTTGAAGATTCAATTTTTAAGATTCAATTTTTAAAAAATTTAGGGGGACAATGTATCAAATTCAATAGAGATATGGATTATCATACTATATAGAGAGAGTTCTAGCTTTGCCCCCTGCCTAGAGAGTAAATATTAGGTGTAACTGTGATCACACGTCATCAATGTTACGTATTGTTACCAATCAATTATAAAACAATAAATAAGATCGATAAATTCCACTATTCTTATATAGCAAATGTGGTATAGCGAAATCTATTAAGTCCATTTGGTATTATATTATTGGTTGGTGATACCAAGTGACACTGATGACGTGGTGTCATTGTTTACACCAAATATTTTTTCTTACTCAGGACATTGGGCATGCCTTCAATTTTAATGTGTATCCCTTTTTTCTATCAATGAAACTAATTTTACTGATCCAAAAAAAAAAAGATAAAAAAGAAAAGTTCACCAATCCAAACCCTTGTGACGACTAGAATTGAAGCCTTTTGTCGTAGTGAAACCCAACTCTTGAGCCTAGTAAACACTTTGTTACCACCGGTCCACCAACCCCCCAATTGTCTACCTAAATAATTTACTGTTTAATGAAAAAATATGACCCTTTCATCTAGAATCTTTCCTGTTGTGGTTGCAGTTGTAGTACGATTGAAATATGAGTTAGTAATTTCAATCTTTCAGTAGTGAAACACGATTTCAATATTCAAGTATCAATAACATTCTTTGTAAGTATTGTACTTCTTTGAATAAGGAGATTTCCTGTTAAGGTAGCAAATCATTAAGATCAAGTTCCTGCCTTTGTTGGGTTTATCAGGGTTGAGCAAGCTATATAAGACGATGCAGACAATATTACAATTATCTTCTATTATGGTCAAATAGTCAGAATAGAGACTCTATTGAGTTGAATTAAGCCGAGTTGAGCTGCATTAACTGGTAATAATAGACAAGGACCAATGCCATTACTCAAATGGGCTTGAATGGACAATCTAATAAGGGTTGAAAGTGGATGGGACCTATCTGACCTGCATATCAATGGGTAGTTTGATGGGCTTAAGTTGGGCCTACACAATGGACCAACTATTCACCTTCATACTCTTTAATGGACCAAAAAATATGGCTCATAGCCCAAAATATTGGGATACAAGGTAATTCATAGCCCATTAAGTGACATTCTATGTCGGCCCATTATATATTGGGCCACATGGGCCAATTTGTTGCCCACGATGGCTCAACCTGTACAGGCCCGACACTTAGGGTCGTATAAACAGTAGCAAAGTCCTTCAAAGTCCCGACCCTCGTCATTTTCTCCGCATCAAGGGTCTGACTACTAGGGTTTCGGGAGAGGGAAGGGGAGGAAGAGGCTTACCAGAAAGCTCACCACCATGAGAGCTAAGGTAACGTCAACTATACATCCGAATGTCAATCGACTTTATGTGCTTTGATTTGTTGGTCTTGTTTGACGAATTGTTTTCGAACATTTCAGTGGAAGAAGAAGAGAATGAGAAGGTTGAAGAGGAAGCGTCGAAAGATGAGGCAGAGATCCAAGTAATTCGACTACTTTAACATTAAATAAATCGACCTATTTCAGGACCTGTTTTTTTTTTTTTTGTTTACTTTAGGTTTGTCATTGCCTGAACAGTACATTTTATGTTTTAAGTGTGATTTTGTGAACTTCATTAGCCCGAAGTGTTGGTTTTTGTTGCTGTTTTTTTTTTTTTTGTCTGAGGTTGAATTCTCTGGTTCCTGATGGTTGTGTTGATGAATACCAATTTAGATTGGATTATTCTTTTTTGGAGTATGCATTTGATTGTTTATATTGCTTAGAAAGATTGAACTCTAGGAAATCTGTGTTGCGATACTATGTGTGCGGGAAAAATTTCATACAAGGAGATGGACGGTGACAGTAAGAAAGCCTTGAGTACCCTGCAAAGACAAGAGAAAGCTGGGTGACGGTGTCTTTGTTCACCTAGCTTTCCCCAGTCTTCTAGGTTACTCAACGTTCCTAACCATCATCTCCGTCCGTGCGAGGTGGTGACTCCTTGTGTGGAATTCTTCCCGCACACTATGTCATTGTAATGCGCTGCCTTTCTCCTGGTATATTTTCATCCTTACATATTTGTCTGCGAAACATTGACTTGTGGGTTGATTCTGCCATGCTATGCATAATTCCGAACTGAAACTTAAAAATTCATTAAACTCCTTTGTTGGGTGTACCCTCCTTCCCAAGTAAATATTTAATGTAATGGTCATACAGCATCAGTAATACCATGTACGGTCCAGTGGAAAACGAATTAAGTTATGCCCATTTTTTTACATAGAGTTGTTATTGTCTTACATGGATGAGTGGTTATTAAACTTGGTAGTGTTCATTTATTATTGGATTGTTACACAACTGATATTGCTGATGTGGTGTAACGGTGATATTCAATATTTTATTTTTCTCCTTTTCCTTCCATACCCCCCCTACAAAAACTCCCCCCCACCCTTCTTCCCCCAAAGAAAAAAAACCTGTTTCTGCCTGTGAGGTCCAAACCCAGTTACTCTGTCTTTGTTGCAGACTTGTAGTGCATGCCTAGATTACCATGGACATATACTCCATCTGTCCATAATGGGCTGTGTCAATATTGCTCCATTTTACCTAATTTATGGCTAAATAGGAAGGTAGATCGATCCGTAGGCACCCACCATCACATAGCAACTAGTTGTTGAATTTGGGAAGGCAAGTGTAAATCTTAATAACACTGATCTTTGGCTGAGATTGAGGAAGTGTCTTCAATTATGAACCAATCTTATAAATTTTTATTGCTCTTGTGGCGAATCTTGTAGGAAATCTTATATAGAATCCATTGTCAATACCATTTATCTTAATATCTCCAGAGTTTGGTATCCTTCCACTTACAATGGTTTTCCTTGCAATTCATGCATGTCTTTGCTGATTTTGTGTAAAGATATCTGGTGTCGCATTCTCTTTTTGAGTGCTATATCATGGTACATGTAGAATGTTGTTCTTTAGGCCAGTAATTTCTTGTTGATCCATGCTTCCTGTGCTTCAAGGATTTGAGTGGTGCTGTTGATATTTTCATTTATTTCAACCATTGTAGTGATTTTCCATCATAGCTTATAAAATCTTTGAGAGGGTAATTCAAGTAGTAATAGGAACAAATTGTAAACTTAGACGTCTTCAATTTAAATTTTGACAACCCTTTAGGGATAGGTGATGAGGGATTTACCCCATATGATATTATAGTTCCCGTGTGGATAACGTAAAACTAAATAATAATAATAAAATTTTAGATAATAACTTTGCAGGATAGCACTAAGGAAGAGACGACAAAATTAGAACTTGCAACCTCAAGGTTTAAGAGCGGGATGGTGAAAAAAACAGTTCCCAAATTTTTTTTATGCGGTTTCCTTTTTTGGAGCCTTCTGGGCCCCAGACTTGAACACGGGCCCAAGATCTTCTTTAGCACGTATACTGTCGATGTAACTCCGAACCTCCTTTGCTATCATGCGCTGCATCATCCTGAACAAACATGACTCTGTCTCTTCCATATCCACCGTCGATCTCTCCTCCTCATTCCCGGTGATCTCCTCCTCCTCTTCCTCCACCACCACCAAATCCTCTTCCACCGCCTTTTCCTTGCTCTCCGGGAAGACAACCACATTCCCCTCCCCAGGCAACGACAACGTTAAAGATGTCGCAGGCCCATCACAACTATTCTCCTCCATTGCGGCCGCCAAAGGCTGTCTCTTCACAGCCGAGTCAGTCTCAGACGACACAGTTGTCGGCAAGTCCAAGCACGGCCTCTTCACCACCCCCGACTTTGACCCACAAGACAACTCGGCAATTCTTTTCCTCCGGAGTGATGAGTTCCAGTGGTTCTTAATGGCATTATCAGTGCGACCGGGCAAGAGGCGCGCTATAGTGGCCCATCTGTTCCCATGGATAGCATGCGCCTTGATGATAATGGCATCCTCGGCTGGAGAAAATTGTCGGTGTTGTACTTCTGGGCTCAGCTGGTTACACCACCGCAGTCGGCATGATTTTCCTGACCGACCCGGTATGCCGGTACTGATCAGAGACCAGTTACGAGGGCCATGGTCCTCTACGAGCATCAATAAAGTTGCATCTTCTTGTGGAGTCCATGGACCCTTGATTTTATCCCCTCTCTCTGTACCCATCACTTTGATCTCTTTCTCTCATCTGATTGTGAATTAGAGTTTATGTAGAAGATGAAAGAGGCGGTTATGAAGAGTTGTTGAAATGAAGGAAGCGCGTTTTGGGTTGTTTTGTTCGTTACCTGGTTTGGCTCTTCTCTTTCTCTCTCTCTCTTTCTCTCTGTATGTATTAACAGCCTTGTGTGTAAGTTATAACTGATTTTGGAGTAACGGCTTTTTTGTGTACACATTTCAAAGACGTTATTCCCAACTCAAAACGGTTGGGATTACAACCCCGAAACTGTGGCTGTTTGGTTGCTTTTGTGTGTTTATCCCAACTGCTTTTATATCACCCCCAAAAATACTATATTTGTAATTAATTTAAGGAAGTAATTAATCACCGTTGTTAAATTAAAAATAGTATTTATTTTATATCGGAACTCTCAGTTAATTTAATAGCTGCAATAAATAAAAATTTCTAATTAGATTCTGAAATTCAATTCATGTAGCATTGCTCTTAGATTCTTAGAAAATGAATGAATATCTTTTAGACTTAAAATTTTAGTTTTGTTGATTTTTAGATACCACATAACACTACTACTAGAAAAATATACAGGTGTCGTTTGTGGCAGTAATGGTGTGTTGTAGGAGAAAATTTTGTATAGGTTTAACACAGACAATTGTCAAACATGTAAGTTAGTTTTTTTTTTTTAAAAAAAAAAAAATCTGACAAAGTGATAAATAACAGTTTTTCTTGAGAATGTACGACATTTTGACGTATGATTAACTATTTACACCATCGGCACTGTCACATTATATGTGAAACCCACCACAAATATGAGATTTAGAGTGAATCACAATCAGTACGGATTGTTAGGGATGATAATCAAACTGAATTATTCGAACTCGGTTCGTGTTAGGCTCATTTTGGGGCTTGAATCATTTTCTAAACGACTTGAGCTCGCAAAACTCAACTCAATTATCAATCTTACCCACACTGAGCCCTTATTGAAGATTGCATTCCTTCTAACAAGATGTGGCTTGTTCTTTAATTTTCTTACCCAAAATTTAATTTCAATAGTAAGCATGGAAAGCAACTAGTGCTTATGGCATAGCAATTCAATTACAGAAATCTGGAACAAGGTTCAAGATTTGAACTAGAATTTGTCACATTTCAATGAAGCAGTGCTAATGTAAAGTACATAAAGTAAAAAAAAAAAAGCTTAAGAAAGAAAAACATTGGCATACAATTGTTTGAGAAACTCATTTGTGTACACTCATGTATATCTTACTGAAAAAAAAGTATGCAAACACTAGCTATTTAAGAAATGCATTTGAAATACCTAAACTTGTGCCAGTTTGTGGTTCTTATGGATGTATGAAGAAGTTTAGATGCCCCTCCAACAAGATAGAACCCTAATCATCCAGTTTAGTATTCATTGAAATGAATGGCACCAACTTTCCACACGATGTATGTTGTTGCAAACATCACTGTGCTGATAAAAACAAACGAAAAGGCAATGACAAATGCGTCGACACCCCCTGGAAAATCAAAAGTCAGGCCCGCTTTTGGCATCCCCCGTTTGCTGTCATCAAACAAGTTTGTAGGTGCTTCTGGAAGGCCAGACCTCTTTTTCCCTCTATCACTTTCTCTCAGAGCCTCTAATACTCTGCTTCCAAGCTCTGGTTTAGATGCCTTTGGTTCTGTGTAGCGACTGAGAACTCGGGCTGCCCTTAGTTTCTCTCTTGCTGTGAGTGAGGATCTTTTTACACTGGCAGAAGATGTGTCCTGTTTCGAATCTGAGGAAACAACTGGCCCATTGGAAACGTCAGAAGCCTGAGGCCTCAACTCGGCTTCAGAACTAGTTTGAAGTTGGCTCTCTTTTGTCCGAGAATCCAAGGATTGGAGATTCACTGCTGAAGATCCACCATCAGAAATTGATTTTTCAGCATTCTTGAAATCTTTATCACTGGTGTCTGTGGCAACTCGATCACCATTTGCAACTAACAGACGTGATCCCCAATTTTTCCCCTTTATAAGTCTTCTGAGTCTAACTTTTTCTGAGGAAGATGGGAGATGGGTTGCCTTCAGTACTGAAGCTTCAATGTGAGTTCTTGGGTAATGTTGATACTTTGCCTGCAACTTTAAATAGATTTATATCATGTAAATAGCTAAGGATAGCAGTCACTAATAGTGCGCGACCTCCCCCTTTAATTATATACAATCAAGACAATTTCCCTTGCAAAAGGAAAAAACAGAACGAAAATTTTACTTGGAGCTTCATTATCTTTATTATAGTTACAAAAACCAATTTGACCTTGAAGTCAATAAGCATCGGTTGTTTCATGCTGCATTCAACACTTACCATTCCACCACTGCATCCATAGAATTATAACGTCTTCACAACACTAGGATTCATAGACCAAGGCTAAAATTTTTAATCCATCGATAACTAACAGGCCTAAACTGACCGCAGAAACTCATGGCCTATGTATAAAAATAGCAGCAGAATGAAGTTCTTGAAGTTGCATGACTTCTTAGGTCTTGAGCTCTAAAACCCTAAGAAACACTGGGATCACTGAAGATAACGATCAAGAAAAATAACTCTATATATCTTTCTGCAGTGATGTGGTTAAAGGATGAGGAGCAGAGACCATTTATCATTTTCTTAAATGCACTCATAAGCTTTCGAAAATGAACTCAACTGTCACTATGTTTTTTTGGTTGCAACTATATTACATCAAATTGTGGGTTTCAACTATATTGCGGATCGCCACATATATTATGCAGAAAAAATGATCAAAAGGTTAAGAAAGGAACAACAGACAAGTAGGAAGACCAGCTAGACAAACTAAAAGTTGTAAAAATTTCTTATTTTGGGTGTACTGATAAAATTTCAATGAAATGTTCCATCATCAACCAGTTTTCGAAACAACGCACACCAAAAAACGAAAAAAGCATCAAACATCTTTTGATACACAATTATGGGCTTAATTTCGACTTAAGTTCTACAACACAAAGGCCTTCAATTACTTTAGATACTTATTTATCACTTATCTAATTTCTAAATGGTAGAGATAAAAAGAGAGAAATCATGAAGAATGAAAGTTAAAAAAGAGATGACAGGTGAACTAATGTGTCATTGCGAACATATTGTCCATTAGCTACTAATGTTTGACCGTGGTCTCCCTTGTTAGATAACTGTGTTTTGGCTCGAGGGGGTGCCCTCAGCACCTCGGTCTATAGGGGTGCCCCAAGGTTTTGATTTTGCGGCAGACCATGATCCCGGGCGGGATGTTTTCTTCCGGTCTCTAGTCTCGGTCTTTCCATCCATCCACGGCTATTTTATTGTCAATCCAGCCTTTGCCCCTTTTTTGGTTAGCAGCTCTTCGATCAACCTAGGAAGGAAAGGGTCTCAGAGGCCATGTTTTCTAATCCAAAAGGTCACTTTCATGACTTGAATGGGTCAAGAAAAAAGTAGGGCGTTTCAAAAGGATCGTATTTTAGGCTTTATTTTAATGCAAAGTTTTCCACTCACTAGTTTTAATTAAGCAAATCCTAAAGAGCAAAGCTTATATTATAATGCCTTTCTCATCGGATATGGAGATATGAATAAATTATAATGCTACTCGATGCTGATATCGAATTTTCTCTATCAAAAGTTCTTGTTTAATTTCTGGGTTTCTTAAGAGTTTCCCACTGGAACGGCTGCAAACTGCTTATTATGAAATCAAAGAACTCCACTAAACGTTACCCATACCAATTATAGGGCGGCACCGGAGACAAATCAATTGATTTTTCACTGAACGACTAACCCTTTGTTCACTCATTTACAATTTGCATTCCCTAAGTAAATTTCCTATTCGTTTACAAGATAAAACATGCAAATCTATATGACACAGACGAATTCATTTATATATAAGATGAAATTGTTGGGTAGGGCATATGATGGAGCAAGAGAGACATACCGTTGAGTTGAAGCCGATGACCGAATTCAAAGAAACTGCCATGTTTTTGGGTCGTCTTTTTCTTCAAGTCCCAACCATTGAGAGAGAGAGAGAGAGAGAGAGAGAGATGAGTTTGTGGCAGCGAAGTGGAAGGCTTGTTAGAGATATGAAATGGTTACCGACACGGACATCTAATGCGCGTGGGTAGCAACGATGGTAGGCTCATCAATTTACAAAATGGATTGTTAGACCCGAATTGTAGGATCCAAAATAAACCGCGAGCGGATCCATAGCATAGCGGTTAGGATTTGGATCCGCCAGTACCCCTAGTTAGGGGTGTCAACTATATCGGGTGAAGTGGATCCATAACAATAATATAGTGGTTAGGACTTGGATCTGAGAACCAGTGACCCTCGTTAGGAATGTCAACCAGGTTAAATAGTTATGAATCGGGTCTAATTTGGTTTGTGTGAAAATCAATAAACACGTACATGACTTGTTTAAATAAATGGATCAAAATGTTCAAAACAAACATGCGTTCGTTTTATTAAGCAGGTTATACGTCACGACTCGCTTAACTCATTTAATAAACGAATTGAGTTAAATAAAATCAAGTTAACACAATAACTCTTTTAACCCGTTTGACCCTTTTAATTGAACATCCTTTAAAAAATTATTAAACTTTTTTTTAAAAGTAATCTAATTAATAGCTATATATATTGTCTTGGCTAGTTTTTTTTTAATAATTACTAATTTATTATTATATTAATTTTATTTAAATGAGTAAACGAGTGACATACCTCACTCGAACACAACCAATTTATTGAATAGGTTTAGCTGGTTAACTAATTTACCACTCAAATCTAATAAAGTCTCACTCAAACTCGCTTAACTCCGTGTTGATTAATCATATTTTGTCGAATTTTCCTCCAAATGAAAATCATATATAATATATATTTCTACCCGGATTTCATCGTGGGACCGTAAAACAAACCTAGTTACTTGAACTCGGCTAAAAATCAATTATAATAAAAATTCTTTGCAAATCAATTCATTTACCAAACGAGTCAAATTAAAACAAAATTTTTAAATACATTATTTTTTCAGTGCAATTGAATAAACCAATTACAATCCAAACACTCCATGAAATTCCAGCTACTCGATTTCGGTTTGATCAAAAGCTCATTTGAGATTTAGTTCTTTAGATAAACGAGTTAAACTACAACTTTATTAAATTGAATTTCAAAACCAAGATTAACCAAACTAATGTCTGGCTCAAATCCCAACTAATAAACACCAATCCACGCATAATCCCATCCTAGATTTAGATCCAAACACTGACCAGGCAAAATCACATTGCTTGTGTACAATAACCCATTACAAATTGATAACATTTTTTTTGTTCTATTTCAAAATTAAGATTGTGATGCTCTAGTCTAACTTACAAGTGAACAGTAAATGGAGTTTTTGATCACTTTGAAGTAGGGCAAAGAACTGGTCGAACAGAAGCTTTAAAATCTTCATAAAATCTTTGTTCCGAAAACCTGTCGGCCTGTCTCCTTGCAGCCGCAGCCATCTCAAGTCTCTCGGTTTCTGGCATCGTTATAACTTTTACGATGGCATCAGCATATTCTTCCACATTTTGGGCAAGAAATCCAGTTTGCTGTTCATCTTCTGCCAACACAATGTCCATCTTTGGGCCAGCAGAATTATTAGCTGAAAAAAGAGAATTACCAGTTTAATTTAAGAAAAGAATAGCATGTATATGAGCAGAAGCACTATGGTTTAAAACAGGAACTATACAAAATGCCAACCAATTGGTATGGCGCCTGCAGCCATGTATTCTACAACGCATATGCCAAAATGTTCGTCTATCATAGAATGTATCCCTGCAATTGCACCCCCCAGAAGTCTCACCAAATCTCTGCAGTGAAAAGCAAATACTTATTAGGATTTTTTGTAAGGGAATTACCCATGCAAATCTATAAAAACAAATCACAAAAAATTCCTAATATGCTGATGAAATTAAATGAATCCACAACTTTCAGACAGAGCAAATTGCCACAGGCCCTTTTGTCCAAGGTTATAACTTATAACCAAAAAGGTATGAAGTGTTGGGTCTAGAACTCACGCACCAATAGCTGTTCACAATGAGGTGAAAGTACTTGACCACAATTAACATCTTAACACCAATGTATGCAACAACATAAAACACATGGAAGTACTTTTGGCACTAGCTCAAAACTCAACTCAATTTTTGACCAATTTTATGAGTTAGTATTTGGATCAAATACACAAATGGAAATTGCATAACCCAATCATATCATCCAAGTTGGAGCATTATTCATAAGGGGCATGTTTAACACAGGCATAGCGGAAGATAGACAGTAACAGTTGATGATTATCAGCAAATGCACCATTTCTTTCCTAGCAATTCTGAACCTTGCAGACTCGTATGATTTCCAAGGGCTGGAATGAGTACATGTAATTAAGATTATCTATGCATAACCATCTTGGTTTCACATCACAATGGAAGGTTGTCAGCAGTAAGCAGAACACGTAGTGGAACGGAATAAACCTGTAGGTCACATTCTTATAAAACTCCACATCCTCTTCCACCTTCAGTTCAACAGCTTGATCTTTCAAATTCTGCAACCTTTTCTCATCCTCTGCATTCCGACAACTACCCACAAATTGGAGTTTAGGTCTAGGCGATTCAGCATGCAATTTCTTGATGGCAACTGAAAATGCCTCAAGTTGACGATTTTGTGCCTGAAACATAAGAATTGTGTTTGTAGGGAACTTTACCATGATTTCTAAATACCCCAAAATTTCAATCGCTGAAACTATAGTACCTTGATCTCACAAGGTTTATGTTAAAATGCCCACCTTCTCTGGACGAAATTGAGCTACAGAAATTATTTTTGGAGGGTCTGTTGACCTTTCTAGTGGAAGTACCTGTGTAAAAAATGACAGGTTAGGACTTCAAATTTCAAGAACAAATAAAGACAGACGATCTATAATTCCCATGACTTGAAGCAAATGCTGACATGCACCAAGTTCTTGTTATATCACCCTAATTGCATGAAACAGATCCAAAGCCATGAGCAATTATAAACTGTGTGGTGATGGCATGTTTATAATTATGGTGATCCTTTGTCCCTCTATTGGGAAGTGTCTTCTCTATATCCAACATGAATGTAAAAACATATGCAAAAGAGAGAGAGACAGTACTTGTAAAAATGTTAAAACATTTTTCAAAAGAACTATGGAAAAGACTGCAAAGTTTAACAAATACATGACCGTAGAAACAATTTTAAAACATCCACCATCTTACTTTTTTACAATATTAATTTTCTATTCTTTATTTTTATTTTCTTTTTCTTGTGAGGATACAGACATCAACTTGCAGAAAATAATTTCTTTCCATTAAGGTCATAAAGGAATTTTCTTTTCATTCTCTTTCTTTAAGAAAAAGCTAGCATGAACAAGTAGAAGGAATTAAAAAATTACAAACCTGAAGCCCTGAAGTATCACAAGGAGGATAGACACGCTTAGTACGATCTGGAATTTTCCAAAGCTTCCCAATATGAGACTCTGTCCATGAAGAGTTCACCATAGCAAGGTGTGCACATGAGCCTACAAACCCATACATCCAGCTAAAAACGGTATAGTAAATGACTTTGCACCGGGATAGTAAAGCGCTGTCACAAGTGTAATTTTCTAGTGAGCTCCACATGAGAAGAGAACAAGTACATGAAAAGCTTTCTTTAAAAAACAACTCAAAGAAGCCTGCATGCAAAGAACTTACAAAACAAGCTAGAACAATTACAAAACAAGCACCTCTTTGCAATCAAGGCCTCGTTGTTGTACATGGAATTCCGTGCATGAACACGAGNTTGTGATGGCATGTTTATAATTATGGTGATCCTTTGTCTCTCTATTGAGAAGTGTCTTCTCTATATCCAACATGAATGTGAAAACATATGCAAAAGAGAGAGAGACAGTACTTGTAAAAATGTTAAAACATTTTTCNTGGTGATGGCATGTTTATAATTATGGTGATCCTTTGTCCCTCTATTGGGAAGTGTCTTCTCTATATCCAACATGAATGTAAAAACATATGCAAAAGAGAGAGAGACAGTACTTGTAAAAATGTTAAAACATTTTTCAAAAGAACTATGGAAAAGACTGCAAAGTTTAACAAATACATGACCGTAGAAACAATTTTAAAACATCCACCGTCTTACTTTTTTACAATATTAATTTTCTATTCTTTATTTTTATTTTCTTTTTCTTGTGAGGATACAGACATCAACTTGCAGAAAATAATTTCTTTCCATTAAGGTCATAAAGGAATTTTCTTTTCATTCTCTTTCTTTAAGAAAAAGCTAGCATGAACAAGTAGAAGGAATTAAAAAATTACAAACCTGAAGCCCTGAAGTATCACAAGGAGGATAGACACGCTTAGTACGATCTGGAATTTTCCAAAGCTTCCCAATATGAGACTCTGTCCATGAAGAGTTCACCATAGCAAGGTGTGCACATGAGCCTACAAACCCATACATCCAGCTAAAAACGGTATAGTAAATGACTTTGCACCGGGATAGTAAAGCGCTGTCACAAGTGTAATTTTCTAGTGAGCTCCACATGAGAAGAGAACAAGTACATGAAAAGCTTTCTTTAAAAAACAACTCAAAGAAGCCTGCATGCAAAGAACTTATCCTATAAGCTAGAACAATTACAAAACAAGCACCTCTTTGCAATCAAGGCCTCGTTGTTGTACATGGAATTCCGTGCATGAACACGAGAAAGCATGTCTAAACTGATTGTTGGGTAATGGGTATAGCATACAACTCTACACCCAAACATCCGAGCAACTGGATATGTAAAAGCATATCCACTAGTATCAAAATAGTATAAAGGAGTAAATTTGCATAAAGCTTCCCAGGAAAGGTAGACTGAACCAAAGCTTTGACCAATCATAGTGAAGCGAGGATAAGTGGCTTCTTCAATCCACTTCCTTTTGTATAGATGTACAACCTGATGTAGACAAAGTAGAATATCAATAAGATAAAGGTTGGTAAAATTAGAATTTTCGTGATTGATCATGTATTAATTGTCTATTAAACAGAGGCTCAGATAGCAAGAACTTAAGAATATTTGACAGAGAATCTCACATAAACTTTCTTTCAATGTGCTTGAAGATACCAGATAACAGCCGGTGAAATTATTTTGAAAAACAGTTCTACCAGAAATGCTTCTCATCGAAACAGAATCAGTTTGAATCAGTGATGATCAGATCAGCAACATCCTACATTGCCATAATATAGCAAATACATCCTCTCCACATTGTTAGCAGGTATCCATGCTTTCTATTTGCGGTCATTTTCCTTTTCTCAGAATTATTCAAAATATTTTGCACCAAATACCCCTGAAAAAAATACTTAACACTGAACTACCAACTATGCCAAATTTTTGAGTGATGTAAAGCCCACATATGTACATAATTTTCTATCTAGGAGCTGTAAGGCACAGAACTGGGGAAGAATATATAAGTTTCTCATCATTCAAATTTTCCACCGTTTGTTACACTAAAAGCAAAAAGTGNAGTTTTCTATCTAGGAGCTGTAAGGCACAGAAATGGGGAAGAATAAATAAGTTTCTCATCATTCAAATTTTCCACCGTTTGTTACACTAAAAGCAAAAAGTGTCCACCTTAACTACACTAACATATTTATTTGAGTTGGTGGAAATTGAGTTCTTAATAAAGTAGATGCTGAATTTGGCACCATGGTTTCAGGCCTTGGAATTGGAAACCAAGGAAATTATTTCTACCAACAAAACTTGAACTATCTCCCAAATCAAATTCTACGAGAAAGGGCTTCAACTCAAGGGATTTACTGCTTTCACATGCATGGTTCGGATTTCAAGTTACTGTCCCCAGTGGGGAGGAGCTAACCACAAAATAACAACAATGTGTTGTGGGCATTGTGGCATTCCTTATTGATTTCTGTAGGCTACTTAAAAGAGGGATTGCTCATCTAAAGGCTTGGTTGAGCTTCCTCATATGATCACACAGCATTCAAGACCTCAAAACAATAAGGCAATAGCATAACTATTATTGGCCTTACCCCTATCCCAACAAAGCAGGCCTTTTCTCTTTAAGATGAGATTGGAGATCTGATTCCTAAAGATCTCAAATCCCTGCTTTCAAACACAGCTTCAAGTTCATTTTGAGCTCTGGAAATCAAGAAAACACAAGACATAAAAGGCAACATTGTTTTCTTCCATTTTCTACAGTTTCTCAGCAACAAAACAACTTTCTTTTTCTGTTTTGACTAATTAAACAGCAGCGATATGACGTAGGCAATACACAGCTCCTAATCTTATCAAAATCAAACCAAAAGAACACTCAAGCTTTACACACACACACATACATATGTAGAACAGATAGGCGTATGTGAGCATCGAAATTCCAGCTAGTTTAGTTGGGTCTTCACTTGATGATAATGCCACAAGCTCGTTCTTACCTAGAGAAAGAAAATTGGTACCTTGGGAGGGTGAAGCAATTTGACCCCAAACCGATCAAGGGCTCGACCCAATAGACTATCAGAAGAAGCATCATGATCGCCGGTGTAGACGATGCAGTCAAGCTCGGGACTCAATTCTTGGATCGCTTTGACGGCACACCAGAGGACTCTCTCTCCGCCACCTCCGTCGTTGGTGTAGGGGTGGAAGAACCCCACCGCCCTCTTTCTGTTACTCCGACCATTGAAGACGATCAAAACGAATCTCCAGATTAAGGCCCAAAGTGTTGCTGATATCAGAACCCATAGCAGAAATTTGTTCGCCATTGATGAGAAATTTGTTTCTCCAATTGTTAGGGTTTCGAATTTGGAGCAATCTCAAGGTTACTTCTGCGAAGAATCGACTGGGACCAAGTGTTGAAACTTCTAAAATCGTCCAAGGGAGAAGAGAACCCCAGTTTCATAATCGTATTAATTTGGGTAAATTACATTCGAACCCCTGAAATTTATCACTTAATCAGACAGACACCCTCAACACACNACAGAACCCCAGTTTCATAATCGTAATAATTTGGGTAAATTACATTCGGATCCCCTGAAGTTTATCACTTAATCAGACAGACACCCTCAACACACCACCGTTTACCCAGCCACCACCCTCCTCTGCGCATCACCCTTTACTCAGCCACCACCTGATCCTCTTTCTCATTGCCCCTTACCCAGTCACAGCCTATACAGCCACCAACCCTCTCTAAATACAGATTTGCACACTGGCATACATATATCACCAACTTTTCTTGAATTCTTTGTTTTCTGATGATTGGAATAAGCGACTCCGATTTAATTCAAGAATGGAAGAATTCAAAAACTAACGAAGGAATTAGCATTGAAGAAGAGAGACAGAGCCTGGAAAATTGACCACCTTCCACTACCGAAGCCCTAAACCCCAAAATCGACACCGGACTTTGCAAACCCCCGACACCCCAAATCAAGCGATCACACATCTGGGTTTTCAGTCACACATACATACATATATACAAACTGACCACGCAGAGGCAGATGCAGAGGCACGCATCACACATCCATCGCCACCACCGTAGTGCTAATCACCATCAAATCGCAACCATATTGTTCCCTTTCGATTTCAGGTGTTGTTAATGGTTTCACCATCAGATCACCACTCATAGAAAGAGTTTTGCAACGAGATGGAGGGAGAGGTGTGGGGAAGATGATGGGGTTGCAGCGAGTAGGGATAGAAGATGGTTAACTGGTTCTTACTGATAGGGGGTCTCATTGTAATTTTCCAAACGCGAGGGGGTCTGTCTGTTCAAGTGACAAACCCTAGGGGGTCAGAATGTAATTTTCCCTATTAATTTACAGCTCTGATTTGGGGTAGGGCTGCTAATGTTCATGCGACCTTTTTTATGAATATCTCCGACCTCATTCAAATTTTTATTTAAATTTAACTTAACATTTGAATAAAAAATTTAATTTAGTATAAATGACTCTAATAGATAATTTTAAATTTAAAAAAAAAAAATTTAAATTTTAAAGACAATAAACTCAAATTTAGACCATTGAATATTTAAAGAAAAATACGAACAAAAAAATACTTAAAGAAGAATAAAATATAATTATTAATAATTTCTATAAATATTTGAATCTCTCTTTATTTGAGTCTTTTTTAATTTTATATGAATTTGGTTATAAAATTGAAGAAGGTTTTTAGGTTATTTTTATTTAAATTTAAATTTAGATATTATAAAGAATAACAGCTAAAAATTTTGACAAATTCATATCGGATTCACTCACAATAAATTTATATTGTGACTCGGATATATGACATTTTTAGCAGGATAATTTATGAGAGTGTCGATGAGTCTATCTATTTATCACTCAATCTCCTTAAAAGGTGCATCCCTTTCCTTTGCTCTAAAGAGATGGGTGGATGGATCATCTGCCAAAGCATGTACATCAAGTTAATAAGAAAACAATGGCAATCCAATGGTAGGTGAGGCGAACGAGTGCAAAACTTAAAGACTAAAACACATACATAACCCTGCAAAATCAGTATCGAGTGTGGCGTATCGTACCGGCCATTTTGCTTTCAATACAAATACAGATTGTCCTCAGCTCAACACCTACTACCAGCTGCAAAAAATGCCCTCTTCTACCAAAAGAATATTACAAAGAAATTTATCCACACCCCCTATAAAAGACAACATAAAAATGACATTATTTCTTACCCAGACATTCACTTTATCCCATCAAACAACCACGGAGTGGGAAATAAGGACACAACCCTTTGAATTTTGAAACACCAAATTGAAAACCCAAACTGTCAGTTTCCCTTCCTTCGTGTAGCAACAAAACTATTTGGTGTGGCTGTCAAGCTACCATACACAAATCAATAGGAGCCCATTGATGGCATGCCAAAAGGTGGCATTGGAGGCATCCCCATTCCGCCCATGGGTGGTGGAGCATAACCTCCCATACCTGCTCCTCCCATTCCCGGCATTGGTGGTGCAGGCAAAGCAAGAGGCAGCAACTGAGCATACATGTTCTGCAACCAACCACATACCGGTTACATCCTTGTTACAATTAAGTTGGATAAGTGGTAAACACAAGTAGTAAAACTCCCTGATGCTAGAAAATACATGGTAGCTATACTAAATTAAGAGATCAAAAATGAAAGATTTCAGCAAAACCAGAACAAATACCAACTACTGCATAACACCAATATAGAGAGTGCTCGAAGTAAAAACCTGCTGTTTAATTATATCCTTCTCTTCGTTCTCTTTAGCCTTCTCTTCGCTGAGAGCCTCTATCTTGTCCTTGATTAGTTCATCTACTTTACCCGTGTACTCACGGATAAACTGCAAGAAAGGGAACAAAGTGAGACTGCAACTTTGATGTGGACCAAGATGTGAACGAGCTAAGTCAGCTCTGCTAAGCACAACATGCAAAGACTAAAGACGATAAACATATTGGGTCAAGAAATCCAAATTCCAAACTCAAGCCCAAGTCAAGTGTGTTTTATTTAACACCGAACTGCGACAAGTAGATATTATTCCATAAGATACTTTGACCATGACACTGTAAGCAACTACTCTGACAACCATTAATCACATGTCCAGTGAAAATTCTGCAGATGCTAAAAACATAATGGCCACTGTGCGCGAGTGATAGCCTCAAGTCATATAAAGCATAATTCACTACCTCTTTACAAGGATGTAGCATACAAGGTATCAAAAATGACACATATGCCCAAAAATTCATTTATGGAAATTGGCCCCATTAACTTTCCATATCCAAGTTAAACCATGCCAAGCTCCCAAATCATGATCAAGCCTGAGTTCCACACTTTACAGGTATTACTTTGCATGTATATTAGGAGACTTACCTCTTGGTGAAGTTTTGTTGTTTTTGCCTCTAACTTTCAAGGTCCTGGACAGAGGTGGCAGGGACTTGTAACCCCAAGCCAGATTTTATCTTTTACTAAGTTTCTTTATTTCCCTAATTAAAACTAACCTCCAAAGAGAGAGAGCTCACCTGTAACAGATATGGGAAGGCAAAGTCAATCATGTTGTTTATCCAGGCAAGCTCAAGAGCAACATCCGGACGAATCAAATCATAACAAACAAAGAGGCAAGATGCAAAGCACTCTTTCTTCCCCTGCAAAACACAAAAACAATGTATTACAAATTTATATCATTCATTCTACAAGTTTGTTCCAATTGCTGTCAAAATCACATGTAACTCCTCAAAGCACATAGAAGGAAGTGCTTACTAGTCCCCGAAGGACGGGGTTACATGAGACAAAACTTTAAAAGGTAAAATAACTCATTAAAATAATTATATTTCTAAACACGGTGCAATTGAATAGCTGAGGAAGAATATGCATAGAAAGACAGGATTGAATTGAACATCATAACTCAAACATACATATGGGCACTCACTTTACGGCAATGAGTCGATGACACTGCAATTAAGGTAAGCAAGTAGCAATGCTCACCTTAATACTTTCAGAAAAATGATTAAGAGACTATAAACTATAACTCTTACAACCCAGAAAATTTTAGAACATATCTTCTCACTCTGTTGTTTAAGTTCTGCAATATAGGCAACCCTTACCTATATGCAGTCTCACAAGCTGATACGAAAACATACTTCAATGTAAATTTAAGCATTATACATTATAAACTTCCTTTTATCCTTTAACTTCTTGAACTTCAAAATTAGAAAAGATGGAGTCGTCTGAATGTTTCATTTCCTTTTCTTGATTTTGTGAAGCAAAAATTCTCTTTTATTCCATTATCAATATCTTTGAAGTCAATCTTGTGCAGTCAACTACAAAAAAATAATTTTTTAGCACAACTGGGTCCAGTCGATCACAAATGTAGTTTGAACAAAATATATGCTTGCTACTACAATTGCAAACTAAAAAACACTTTCTCATGTACAAACTTACAAAACCAGTTAAGGTTGATACCTGTTCAATGAAATAAACAAGCAACTCCTCAGCAAGTTCACGATCTCCAGATTGTGAGGCTGTCTCCATGGCATCTTTGTACAGGTTGTCTTTCTTCGACAATGCGATGGACTGCTTCCATCTACCTGCTTTCTTGTAGATATAAGCAGCAACACGTCTCATCTCAAGAAGCTCGTGTTTCTCAATCTGCTCAAACACATAAAAATGCAGCTACTGAAATCTGAATCCACCAATACAAAAACCCACAATGTAACGGAGTTACAACTCACCTTCTGTGCAAGGCCAATCTGATCAAAGCTATCATGTAAATCAATCGATTCACGCAGCCTGTCATAGTCCTCCTCCTCAACATAGATCTCGTTCAGAGCCTCATTTACAGCAGTCACATTGTTGCTCTGAACTGCAATCATGTATGGCTTCACAAGACGCAAATGACCCGCCTGAAACACACAAAGGTAAAAATGCATTACAGAAAGGATACAGGACCTCCATGGGTTTGAGTCATCGCCATATTGAGGAGAAAAGATCAAGAAGTACAAACCTTCCGCATTATGTCGACTACTCGTGTATGGTCCACTCGAAGTGCAAGGACATTGAGAAGATCATTGATAAGATCTGGATGCTCTTGCAAGTAGAAATGGACAGCCTTGTAATATAGCTCCACATTAGCTACTTTAACAACAATATCCTTAAACTGCATGTGATCCCACGCATCTGGTGAATGATTCATGACAGTAGTGGCAGCATTATCAAATTCATCATATTGGATATACAAAAAGGTGAGCTCCATCCAGTGCTGTTGTTCATCACAAGCTCGGATAAGCTTTGGGATGTTGAGACGGGTTGAAAATAGTTTGATATGCTCCATAAGCTTCTCATGACGATATCTAGCATAAAGGACACCCAACTCGGTAAAGATGCCCATGTGTGCACGTTCCAAACCTAAACCACTCTCCATAAGGGATATGAGTTCATTGAAGCATCCCCTGTTTTGGTAATATTCACTGACCTCTTCCAGGTCATCCACCTAAACAATTCACATCAATACAACATATTAGAAATAACCAAAAAAAGTATGAAATTCAATTTTTCCAGATACCAAAATATCTAGCCTATTCCTAAGAAAAGGGGATGGAAGCCACTAAATGGCATGTGGGGATCAATTAAGGTTTCGATGTCATATAAACTGTCTTTTTTCCACCACAAAAGCCGTGTCTCATGCCAGGCTCAAACTCCTGAACTTTTAGTGAGATTTAGGAATCTTGGCCACCCAAGTAAACTCGTGGTGGTTGAGCCATGAAGTGTTACAGGCACAAAAAGCTGCTTATGCAACAATAAGAACCTTAGGCTTAAAAATTAGCTCCAAATGGAACCCATAACAAAGGCAGATCGGTTCAAGGTTTTATCTCTATAATTAACGCCACCCAAGTTTCTAATAAGAGATTCCACATGACTGCTGCTAGGTCATATATCAAAAACATAATTGATCTTTCACCTTCACAGACACATCCACAAAATAAAAAAATAGAAAACGTCACCTGCACAATGATGTTGAGCCCACATATCTGAGCCAACCGGAACTCCTCAGCATCGACGCAAGCAAAGCATACTTCTTTCCACGTCCTTGAGCTATTAGCTTTTCGTGCTGCATCAACAGCACCTTGAAACTGTTTCAGCTTTACAAGTGTGATTGCCAACTTGGCCCAGTTGGAAATAAAAGCAAAAATAATCTTTGCAGCCTCATATAGAGCTTCATCATACAAGCGATCACCAACACTGGGGAGATTTGCAACATTTGGCATGAGAATGAATTCTTCAATGTCACCTAGCCTATCAATCTTTGCATATGCATAGATGAGCTCACTGTCCACTTTAGGCTCCTTAGCCTTCTGTCTAACCATCAGAAGGTACCTCACCAAGTCCTGGTAAACATCTGCATCCTCAGCAGCACGAATAACATCTAAAAATTGTGTGGCATCATCTGCACGAATAAATGACTCGATGGCATCACTAACTAATCCTTCCCTGAGTTGAGCTTTAGCCACCTGACTCCAAACAGCATCTTCTTCGACACGGAATGCAAATTCCACAGCCCGGTTGATGTCTTGGATATTATCCAGTAAGACATTGACAGCCTGTACGTTCAAATTGAACTTCTTGAAAATTGCAAAAGCTTCTTCATACAGTTGGGCTTCCACAGCTACTTCACCAACTGCAGGTCCATCAAAGTTATCTAGCCTATTAATGTAATCCATAACTCTGGATGGATCTGCCTTGATAGCAGTCAAGATAAGCAAATTTTGCAGATTGAAGTTCCCACTGAATGCAGAGTTTTGAAGCACAATCTTTTCAAGAAGCTCGATAAGCTCATGTGGAAGATCAGCAGTCATGAAAGCTTTAACAGCCGCAGAAACTTGTTCTGGGCTCTTGCTTTCAGGCAAAGCAGTAGATACAACTTGATCAATGAGCTGCCTTCTATATTCATTTTCAGGGTTAAGGACATTCTCCCAGAGATCACCGTCCATCCTTTCAACTACATACCTGCAATAAAAATATGGGTATGTCAACTTCCAAAAATTAAATGACACCATGAGTGCATTACAAAATTTGACACTAAACAGATCACAAACCTGGCCTGCAGTTTGAATAAAGAGTTCTTATTCGTGACATTAATGAGTTCATCATCACATTGCCCTCTGCGGTACGCAACAACAGCAAGGGTGGGATCACGCTTCTCACAATATTTACCCACAACACGTGAATCATAATATGGGTTGGTAGTCAGGAAATGCTCTGGATTGTTGTTGCTATCTATTATGATTTTACCCAGAGCATTGTGAACGTGCACATCTTGACTTCCCTCACTAACAAGATGCTCCAAAAATTGAGTAAGTAATCGGAGACGGTTCCTGAAGACGACAAGTAAAGAATGAAGACATGCAGTAATAAGGGCACAAGAAAGTAGCATGTGACATGGGAGACACAACACCTTTTCTCACACTCCTCCACAAGAGGCTCAACTGGAAGTAGAGAACGGACAGACAGAATCAGGCCTTTAATGAAATCTTCAGGACACTCGTCGTCTAGCAGCTGCCCTACTACTAAGGGAGCATTTCCTGGGTTAACCTAACCAAAGAAGACTTCAGTAGCACAAAACTCTCACAGGAGAATGTAATGACAAAGTATGATCTAAGATCGTTGAAGGAGATAATACCTTTTGAACATAACCCTCAATATATCGGAGCATGTTGCTCGAATATAGGTAGTGTGTGAGATCTGGAACAAAACCAAAGCGGTCGCACACATTAATTAGTGGACGTGCATCCGGAAGCTTGGCTTCCATCAAGAAGTTCTTTGTCTTTTCAGGGTCATAGAAATTTGATTCTCTTGTCACACGCTCAACCTCCTTGATCTGCCCAGTCTTGGCAGCTGCCTCAATGTACTTAAAGTGGATATCAGGATCCTCACTGCAACAGAAATTGAAATTATTAAATAATCAATGCGAATTCAGGTATGAACTTGGCTGCTTCTCGCCAAACAAAGAAAACCCCTTCTTCTAAGAGGATACCTGGAGCTCAAATACGACCCCAAGAAGAAGTATAACCCTTCATAGGACTTAAATTGCTCAAAGAGTTTTATGCAGGCATCAACACCCATCTGCTCACAGTATTCTTTGGCGACCTGCACACAAACAGTATGAGTTTAACTGTTAACAGAAGATTAAAACATTCCCATGGAAGTCTAATTATTGTCCTTCAATCAATTGAACATCACATTTGACGATCTACTTCAGGGGAGAGGTCCCACATCCAATCCAGGGAGTTCCAGCTTAACCAGGAAAAAAGATCATCTGGCTTGCACACTCTCTTTCAAAGGTTAAAAAAAAATGGATACCTGTACAATTATCTGAAGATTGCCTCGGAGATTGACCAGTAGCAGGTCCTTCATGCACTCCAGTGCCCATTCCCGTGATAGAGTCCCAAAAAATTCCACAAGAGACTGAAACGAAGTACATATTCAGAACCAATCCTCAAAGTTATCTCAAGAAAATAGACACAAGGATGGCAGTACACCAACCTGTGGCTCAATTGCATGTGTGTTCACAATGACACGTTTGATATCTGGCAATTCAGTGTAGTGCTGCAAAGAAGTTACAACATTTAATCAAATGTATGATGTTGCTTCATCGTAAGAAATATATATTACTGGGACAAAATTCAACCTGCAGAGCTCGCACATAAAGACCAGCTTTTTCACAAAGCTGAGCAATGCGAGGACGGTCATAGTGACTAAACATTCCATTAGCTAATATGGCATCAGCAACATTAGGAAAAGTTACAAGATTGATTTCCAGGACCTGCATGGATGAGAAAAATTAGGACACTGAAAGCAAATAAGATTTTTTTTTTGATTGGAAAGTCTTACACTGAAATTAGGAAGATAAATAAACAGAAATTCGATGACATCAGTTAAAGTAACCTTAGTTTGCAGGAAAGCATGTTCTGGCAGATTAGGCTTCAGAACATCCAACAAAAATGCTGTCGCCTCACGGATCAAGTTCCTCTGGGGAAAATTAACAAAAGCAACAGAATTTCACTAGTGATTGAAAAATTTGGAACAAAATTTGAGAGGAAATAATTGTTGTGAAGCAAGGAACAAAGTAAAATGTCAAAGCAAGAATGAACATCATCAGCACAAGTTGTAGCCTTGAAAAGTTCACAGTAATGAGAAAAAAACCAGTTAACCTGACTCACACGATGAAAACATGGGATAGTAAAGAAACCTGAAGAAAGAGATCTGTTATCGTGTTGTAATCAACTGGACAACCTCCCTCCATTTGGGACATCATGAGGGCAAAATTAACAGCTCCCTGCAATCAGCAAACAATAATTAGTTTTCTTCCTCCAGTAATAAATTCCATGCACTTATATGAGAACAGAAAAGTTAAATTTTCCAAACATAAGAACAGAATGGCTATGGTTAAGTGAAAAAATCATCCGCTTATGAAATTTAACACGTATGAAATCATATGAACTTTCAACTGCAGGATGAATTGGAAGGTTAAGTTTAATAAGATTTAAAAGATATAGCTTTCAGTGATACACATGTAACAAGTGTGCAAATAGTTTATGTCCAGAGAATTCTCTGCATACCTGAGGATCTGATCGAAGAATTGTTTGCAAAAGGAACAAATAATCAGGAGTATATCCAACCTGTACCAACAAATTTCAAATATGTGCCAATTGCTGAGAGCCCATAACAAAACTATATTCTAATAGCAAAATAATTAAAACCCATGATAGCGAGAAAGGTCCATTATACTCATGCATTGGATAATTGACGTCAATATAGAAGATATTGTACAAGAAAATTTAAAATTACTGTATCGAACATTTACTCACCTGCTTTGAGTATATCAAAATTTTGTCGAACTCCCTTCGCTCCGCAAAAGCTGCAACAACTTTTGGAGTTGCTCTGGCTTTAATATATATTTTCAATGCAAGGTCATTGTCCACGGTCTAAAAAAAATGGTTACCTCTATTAGAAAGATGGAAAATAAAAAGAGTATTCAGCAGCATGAAAACAACTGGCTACTGATACAATTTTGCAAATCCAACCTTCACAAGGTCTCCAAGTTCCTCACTACATTCCAACTTGTCCTCAGCCAACCAGTTCTCCAAAAGATTCTTCTTGTTCTGGTTCACAACGAGGCGGGATAGTTCTAACGACTCAAAGGCATTAAGCTTTCCTCTGGTTAGAAGTGTTCCAAAGTACTGCAACAAAGGTGGCGTTTGCCCAGCTTGAACAGGAACACTCTGTAAGTAAGACAACAAACAAGTTGAGGAGATTTGTTATTTTCGCAAACCAAAATATTACAAACTGAAAAAAAAATATAAAATGCAGCACTCAAATCATCAGCAAGCTCCAACTGAAGTTCCATTTCAGCAGGAATATGAAACAGAAAGGCTCCATCATGTGCTTGTCAAATTTCGCCTGGTCTGTCTCAAGGTTATATTTATATTCTCTCTATTTCTATGGTGCATTTGAGTCCATTTACGCCACATCCAACCAGATGAATTCCCTGATTTCTGACTTTATTTAAATTTATCCAAGTTTACACTTCTAAAAATAAAATTTTCAAGCACAGTTCCTTCACTGTACATCCAAATATTAATGTTGGGGGATTCTTCACTTCAAAAAAAAATGTCTAAACCGACTCCCATTGAGATTTGAGCAGGTCCAACTTCACCTATATGAGGATCATTAGGATCATTTTTTTTTTGTTGGTCACAACCAGTAGAATCAAGCATATTCAGGCCATCTCATAGATTAAACTCCTCGTGATTCCACATTGATGAATAACTCTTACATCCAATCCTCTACAAAATAGTGTAGCCATATTATCTTCACATATTTGACCCAAAAAAAATTAACTTAATGATAGGTAGACGAGAGGAAATAAATAAGCAACAGGAGCCAATTTTCAAGCGTAATGCACTCATTAATTACAGGACAACCGACAAATACCGCTGATAATATACATAGCTTCCTAAACAAAAACATAAAGAAAGGGTTAAAACTCAACTCGTAGACCATAAGGTGAGAAAATATATATAAAATGCTTTAAGGTGTACAAATTTACAGACTTTCCATCCTCGTGATTTTATAAGGTTTATAATGTAAAAATGGTATTCATACATTATATACATACATGTAACTAATCATTCTGATTTTTTTTAAAAAAAAAAGAAAGAAAAAGACACAATTTTCAGTCTCATACGACACCNCATGATTTTATAAGGTTTATAATGTAAAAATGGTATTCATACATTATATACATACATGTAACTAATCATTCTGATTTTTTTTTAAAAAAAAAAGAAAGAAAAAGACACAATTTTCAGTCTCATACGACACCTCCATTTGCACGATGCTAAAAAAAAAACTCCAGTTCCAAAAGTCTTGACTTTGACACATTAAAATTTATCTCTCTCCCCAAGATAAAAAATAACTTAAATAGCTTTTATTTTATAGTTTTAATTAAGAATGAAAACATAGTACTCAAGACTATTCCTTCAAAAAATTATTGTAAAGTCCAATCTGAAGAGGTACTCTTTAACATCAAAAGAAGAAGGGACTGACATTGAACAGGTATTACTGATCAGTTACTTCCAAATTTCAAAACAAAAAAGAACAAAAAGAAAGAATAACAGGTACTTCCATTAGAATGAAACAGCAGGATACCTACTGAATCAGATTTGAAATGTTTGAGCACAACAAATGCCAGTCCCTTCTCCCTTATGAAGTAACTTAGACACCAAGAAACCAAATGCTCAACTAAACTTGCTTCTAAATGAACCCATCAGATGCAAGAATCTCATCAGTATATAGCATAGAAGTGATTTTTAAAACAAAATAGACACCTGAAATTTGGCAACAGTGTCAGGTGTACGGAGAATGCCTTGTGGAGACTCTGCAGCAAGTTCAGCAGCCTCCTTATACTTGGTTTGAGCAAACAACTCCTGGAAACGCTGGACAACCTGTGACATGTCCAACATGGCAGGAATACAGGTTCTTAGTAAGCAAGATAACTACATAGTATTAATAATTATAAACATAAAATGACATTGGAAAACCAAGATAGTCCTATGTTTACCAGACATCATCAACATCCACTAATGGTTTATGCAGTATCTTAACTAAAAAAAAATATATAGTATCTCCTTTAGGGGCTTGAAAAGCAAATTGAAACTGATGACCTTGAAAGAAAAAAATGAAATCATTCGTTGAATATCCCTATCATGTCTAGGCCATTCCAGCTAAAAAAAAATGCTAAATCACGCCATCTAACAAAATACAAGTGAACTTGAAGACGCAAAAAAACAACCAGATTGCAGAGCTATATCAAATCAATCTCAATTAAAAGCCACTTTGGTGAACTTAAAGAGGAAAAGAAAGACTGAAACTATAACATATATGAATGAGTCTGAGTTTGTAAGTTATGTCTACTGTCTACACTCCTTTTTGATCCAAAAATCATCACAAAAAAGAAAGGTCCTCCAGAGCCAAAAATAGAGTATCAATTTACCAAATTCTCTGCACCAGGTAGGTTTCCTCTTTTTGCGAGATTGACAGCAAGCTCCAGATTATTCAACTGAAAAATAAACATAGCATTACTTTTTGTCGGGTTGGGGAAGAGGGGAAGTTTGGGGGTTGATCTATTGTAACACATTACATAAGTGCTAGTGAACTTACTTGGCCGCTGACAAAAGGCACAAGTGTTGCTTCGTTCACAGTGGCAAGCAACACCTGGCCTCGCCTATTGATGGCATAGAAACCCCCCACTGAAGAAGCTTCTGCCGTCAAGAAAATGGGATCTGGACTAATCCTATTTCTGTATACTGCAGTAGCCGTTTCCAGATCATACACAAATAGAAGTCCAAGCTTGGTGATCACATAGATCAAACTATATTTATGGGATATCTGCCAAATCACAAAACAGCATGTTACACCAAACTGCACCATAGCGAGGACAACATTAACCTCAACCAAGAAAAAAGAGCAAACATTGGCACAAGCAGTACCTGCATGGCAACTGGAAAATCATCAGCAAAATCTGGAGGAAAGAAAAGATCTGCTTGTTTCTTCGTAAAAGAAGGTTTTCCTGCAGACATAATTCAACAGAACAAGTTTAGAGAATAAATCAGAAGCAAATAAGAACAAAATTCACCTAAAGATTTCAAAAAAATTGTAACCCCCCTGCAAGCATTCCAAATAAAACACAAAAGCCTAACAGTTTTAACAAATTTGTGTAAATCTGATGGACACACAAAAGTTCTGACTATATTGAAAGCCCAAATCCAGCACCCACAGAACCTAATTGAACTCTAGAGCACTGCTATACTGGAAGAAAGCAAAAATGGCATCAATCAAAAATCAGATATTTAGATTTCAGATAAAGAATATAAAGCTTTTGCCAGGGAAATATATAGCAAGGCCAAGACATCACTAACCTCATTGTTGACAATGTTGACATTTAGGATATTACAAAAAAAGAAAAGCAGCAAAAGAAAAGGAACCTGGCTGGGCACCAAGCTCTATAACATGCAATTTTGACGTGATTTGTCCAGCATTCGAGGTTTTCGTTGCAAAAGAAATAAGAATAGAATCCTTCTCATTCCCTGGAACCTGCATAAAACAAAACACTAGACACATTAAGAAATTCATGTGACAGAAAAACAAACTAAATCATGCAAAACCAGATAAAGAGAACATTCGCACTTTGAACGTGGCAAATGCTGCAGCATGTGCTTCAAGAGCTTGACTGCGCTGCTGATCCACAGAAAACAGTTGCATATTTCCTTTGACTAGTTGGGGTCTCTATTGACACAAACAAAAAGGTGGAAGATCAATAAAACAAGAATCAGTCATAGGATCCAGTTCTCCAAATACAGCTAAATAAATATGTATGCAAAGCCTTGTCCACATATGCATATGTAATGTGGACAGCTGAAACTGCAGGAAACAGTAAAACGTGTTCTGATTAGACAATTTTAGCATCTATAAAATCACAAAATCACTCACAGATTAGAAACTAAGCAAAATGAGATCTCAAATGAAGTAAGAAAGTTGTGAGAGATAGAGATACAAAAGTTGCACAATTCCACCACCACACAGCCAAAACTTAAAAAGAGCACGTGGCATGACGTAAAAATTGGGCACTGGCATATCATTTGGATCTGACAAAAATACAAGGCCTTGGACAGAAAACCTCTAGAGGATAATATTTACAGTGCAGATGCAATGTTTTATATCATTTACTAATACCTCTAATTTACCAGTAAAATATCCAGGTAACATAAATTCAAGGAGTTATTTGATGCACTAAAATATATAGTACCTTCATATTAAAACACCAACTTGCACACAAAATTACCATGAACATTTCAGAGCCAGCAGAAATCCAAATAACATTTCATGCTTGTAGCCATTGCAAATCAATAACAATAAAATGCTAATGAGACATTTACACAAATGACTAAGCCATTTTCTGCAGGACAGGCACAATGCACACGAGGAAGCTGGAAGGTAGTACTCTAACATGATGTGGCAGATTAAGCGACTACTAAAAACTACCTCATATTAAACCTCCTGTTCAGGACTACAAAAAGGTGGATGCTTACAACACAGAGACAACTTGGTTTAAAAATAAGAATGACAAGTACTTCATGGCATAGCCCAGGAGAGCATCAACTGAAAGAACTTCCAAAGTAGCATAATTGAAAAGGGTAATTATATACCTCTGGTGAACCAGGAGCAATTCCGACCAAAACCAACCATTTTTCCGTAGGATCACATCGATAATTAATTATCTGATTATTTGCTAAATTAGCTGTTCTATCAAACATCTTCACAGGTTCAGAATCACCTACATGAAATTTAATGTATAACCTTTTGAGAGGTAACATGAATAGCAATAGATAACCAAATAGTGGAAATCATAAAACGCATATTGATGGATGAGGAAAAGAAAGGCATCTACCTTCAATTGACCAATGATAAACCGAGGTTTGCGTGACCAAGCCCAGCATTTTCGAGGTTATCCATTTCCAAAAGACGACCTAAAAAAAACAAGAGAGTCATTATCAAACTGACCTAAAAAGGAAATCAAAACGAAAAAAAAAAAAGAAGATTATATCTTATTGAAACCAGAAATACAAAAAAATTAATTTTATAATATAAAAAAGGAGCTGTCACCTGCTCAGGCATCTGATGTGATTTCATCTTTGCCTTCAACTCAATGTTAAATATCTGTAGGTGATCCTGAGTAGTCCCAGGAAGTTGAGCTTCAAACAAGATGACAGCACTTATCAGGTCTAAATTGAAGTTTGAAGGCGGGGAAAAATAAAGCAAATGTAAATAAGCGTCCGCAACCTTGATTCCCCTCTGGAACCACTCACTATGCAATAGGAAGTTGTACAAGTTGCATCACACACCATAAAGTTCAAAAAATAAAAAAATACATCACACACCATAATGTGACGAGCAATTTGAGCTTGATAACTAAATAAGGAAAGAAACTACAATCTAATATAATAAAATGTGACAAAAGGTAGAAATTTATGCAGGAAGAAAAATCTTTGATGCAGTGACTTGTTATTCAGGGTGTACTAGAATCTATATTGCCCAATTATCCAGCATACTTGAATTATATTTAATGTTATTGCATCCTGAAATTGCCAGCATCATCAATAACTTCCCCAATAGAAGTTATCTCAATGAATAGATATAGTGGAGCAATGAATAAGATGCAACGGTCATGCTTTTCTGGTCCCAAGGGTGAATGGTACAAACAGTGAAAATTCAATTATCATTCCCACATAACGGCCTGTATCATGAGCAAAAGATGGACTAGTATGTTAATGAGAATTAATAATACTTGTCTCACTAATTACTGTGCATCTGACAAAATGAACAATAGAGATTAGTGAGGTCACTTTCTGATTTGCCAGCATCCTCGGAGATCAACAACCAAAATTGACATAGAGATGATGAGAATTTTACAATCATGAAAATCATAATAAAGATCTCGCACCTTTGAGGGCCAGAATTCTGGAATTGGGATTCATGAGGGCGGAGTCTGCAGTAATTGGCCTCCTCAAAGGCTGCATTGGCATGCTCATATCCACAATTACGACACTGTTCTGCGGTGCAGTCTCCCGAACACATATATACTTGTCGGATTCCATTGTAACATTGGTAAAAGTGATAAATTGCGAATTGATTCCTATGCTCGGCAACTGCAATAACACCACATCAAACAAAACCAGCATTCAATAACCCAGCCCCCAAGACACTGAAACATTACTAATCACCAAAATTCACAGAATACAAATTTAATTTAATGGCGCCAATTGGCATCGGTAAATTGGTCAGTGCAACTAGCATCATACACAATACAGATCCGAAAAGAAACTACGCATCACAGATCCATATTAAGTTTTTGCCACATATTAAGCAAGATAAACACGGTTAACGCAACAAATCAAACAAAGTTGAGATAAAATAAACTAAAAATTAATTAAAAAAATGAATAATTGACCGTTGTAATATTCCAAACAAGGGTAAATTCATTGGAAGTAGCAGTGATCGCCAAAATTCGGCTATAATTTGCAGAATATGTTATGAATCGGATTATTTCTCAGAAAAAAATTACCGTCAGGGCCTCTTTCATAGTGATCGGAGCATTAGCGGCAGCCGCCATGGTGGCGAGATCGAAACTACTAGATCAGAACTCCGGATCTGTGAAAGAAAGAAAGAATCGCCGACTGAAAGTCAGACGACGACGTAAGAAGAGTCGAAGTGGCCGATTTGGGGGATTCCAAACGCTGCGAGATCTGAGGCAGCGAAGAAACCCTCGAACCCCCTCAGTGATATCGAGCCAGATAGTGAGAGCGATCTAGAGAGAGAAATAAAGAGAGGGTTCAAAGAAGAGAGAGAAAAAGAGACTGACGTAAATTGTATTTCCAAACTTTGGACTAACATATGAAAGCGAAAATGGAATTAGCTAGGAGAGAGAGAGCGAGAGAGATCTAATCTGAGTCTTCGATGGAGAAAAGAGGCAATGCTATTAAAAAAATCTGGGAAAGGAAAAGACGTGTTAACAGTGAGCCATGGGGCGCACAAAGCTGGTTCGGACCGTTTGGTACTGTGTGGAAGGTGGTTCGAGAAAGGAAGGGTGCATTTTTATGGCTTTTTTTTTTTTTTTTTTTTTTTTAAGTAAAAGAGGGGGACAGTCAATGTAGTACCTCCTCAGTGTAATCACGAGGGTCTTACTATAGAATGTTCAGATTCATGTTTGATAATCATAAGCTCTGTTTAGAACGATAAAAAAATAAAAAAATAAAATAATAAAATAATAAAAAATTAAAGAGGTAATAAGAAATATGAAAAGATGGATGTATTAATTTTTCTTTTAATTGACCAAAATTAGAAAAAAAGTAGATAAAAAAATTAATTATTTGTATTGAGATATATCTTATTTGTCTATATATCTTTTGATATATACATATGTTATGTATATATTAATTTTATATAAAAATATAATTATAAAATATGTATTTATATATATTTTTTTAAAAAAAAAATTAAAATTTTAAATTAAAAAATATATATTTTTTCCATTTTTGCTAAGGGTGAAAATTTTTGACTCAACATGATGACACGACTCAAACTCGATACGAATTTTATGACACGAACTTGATTATAACTTGACACGAACTTGAAAATTAACTGGCACGAGAACAAGAAATATAAAAGGTTCATATTTAGTTCAACCCGTCAAACTTAAAATTGGCACCATCAACTCGTTTATTTAAAAATAAAAAAATTTTCTATTTTTTCGTTTATATCGTAACACGAAATTATACGAAACTAACATGTTTAATTAGTATTATATACATAAAATGTTAATTATTTGTAACTATTTATTAAGTATTGACATAATTATTATAAAAAAAAAATTTACTTATTATTATTATATTTATTTAAATTAATTTTTAGTTTGTAAAAAAAAATATTAACATGGATTCAATTAAGTGAAAATAGAATATAAAAGTTAAATTTTTTATTCAAAATTTATGTAGTCAACAAGAATACGAACACAACACAAAAAAAATAGGTCAACTCGCAACTCGACACAACACAATTAGTTAAATGAATTGAGTTAGATTTGATTAATGTTCGACACAAATATATAATAACTCAACACGAATTTGACGCGACACAACTCGATTGTCACCCCTAATCTTAACCAACACAAAAAAAAAATTAATCATTTTTATTTTTCATCCATCCTATCAAACACAAACAAATGACAGTGTATCATATCTATTTTCCTTCCTTAAATGATAGGAAGTGTATCCCTCATACGTTTCATCTTTGCTACTTTTATCACTCCTACTAAACGGAGCATTAGAGTCAAGAATAACCCTAATGAATATGACTTATCAATAGACCAGCAGCTCATGTGATATTTTCTCCTTTTGTGAATGAGCAATGTTATTTAGATATAATTTAAAAATAAAAATATTGTTTTTATTGAATTGGTAACAAGTCCAACGATATTTTTGTTGTCAATGCAAATATCAGAACATTAGGCACTTAAAATAGATTTTTGTGTACATATATGTATATGTAATATGTTAGGTTGGGGTATACATTTTTTTTTTAGGTTGGGGTATACATAGGTATCACACTGCAATACTAAAAATTGAACATTAATTGTTCAATATTTATATTTTTAATAGTAATATTTTTTATATAAATTTAATGTAGATTGAAAAAAAAAGCAGATAGGGGTAGCGAAAAGAGAAAAAAGAGACATATATAGACTAGTGGGGTTGTTTGGTATTAAGGAGGGTGTTGATTGAGTTGTTTAACATTGGGAACCATGTAAAAAAATGATATTTTTGTATTGATTTTTTTCTTTTGCATTGAATTTCGTGACGTTAGGTGAAATTAGGCAAAGATTGNGCGACATTAGGTGAAATTAGGCAAAGATTGTTTTAATCTCAACCATTACTGTGCTTTTAAAAATATGCAATTCAAATTGCTAACTAAAATATTATATAGATATTTTATTTTTTATTTTTAAATTTCAATATTAAACGATCCAAATAAACGGTATAATTTTCCAATATTTGAGATTATCATCCATAATTGCAACATATTTCTCCTTCTTCATTTAGAACATTCACATTTAAAGTTGAATTTGCCTGCAACTTGAATTTTCTTAATCTCTTCCTCCAAGCTAGAATAATGTGATTTCAATTTAGACCAATAGTATTTAAAAAATACAACAAACATTAGATCTAGAGTGAAATTATATACATGGCCTTCAAATTATGATTCTTTTGTCACTAATTGTGTCAATTGAGTCATTTTATCTGTTTCCATTAAATTTTTTTATGGAAAGTGGCAAAGAGCGTGTCATTCATATAACCGAGCTGCGATTCATTTGTGTCACGTGAAGTAACACACTTAGCGACTTTCTGTTAAAAAATCTGGCAGAGGCAAACAAAATGTTCAATTTGACACAATTTTGATCTATCAATTGCCACTAAAGGCTATATGACTTGGGTGAATGGGTGATTGGATGCAACCTTTTTATTAATGGCAAAGTGACTTTGTGGAGCTATACCTCGAAATGGTGTAGTGTGGTGATGGATGCACGGGTTAAGAGGGGTGGAGAGTAAAAAGTCCAGTTTACAGTGAGGATTATGTAGTGGTCTGTCTTCAGTGAAACTCAGGCCTATTATTACTCTGCTCAATGTGGTGTTCTAGTGTTTCGGAATGTTTCGGCGTCTAAATACCAATATTTGCAACGTTTCAAGGGAAAGATGTTGTTTTTATCTCAAACAGGTCTTTGATTTATAGTAGGATGGTGATATCAATACAAAAGCATTACCTTGGAAAGGTTGAGAAACAAACAATCAAGTCACATATCTCTAGGATTCAATCGAATCACCATGTTGGATAACTATAATTTTTATAATTCTAGATTGTGAAGTGAAATTTCCTCTAATACATTTTTTTTCAATTCTTTTTTGTGGCAGGTCACCTACCATTATGTATATCTTTATTCATTAATTTTGATAATTCACTTATAAAATAGGGTGACGATAACAACATATCGTAGAAGGAGGTAACAAGTGAATCCAATGACCCACTAAACCTGACGTGTCTACGACTACATCCCTGAACATCAGTCAAACAAGGGCGTGAATGCGAGATCCCAGTGGAATGATCAACCGAATGAACTCTCCACCGAGCTTTGAGTGCCAATACGGGGTACAAAATTGCATTGAACATTGACGGGTCTCATTGGCCACAGCCCAACGAAGTGGTTTGTGACGGTGTTTCCAACAACTTGACCTAAAATACAACGGTTGAAAAACAAAAAGCATACAGAATCATGTTATGGATTGTGTCAGTTAAGCCTGCAGGGCCGGTCCTATCACAAGGCCTAGAAAGCCTAGGCTTTAGGCCCATATTTCAAAAAAGGCCCTAAATTTTTTAGGTGTATAATTAGTCTAAATCAAAATTTTTAAACCCNAGCCTAGGCTTTAGGCCCATATTTAAAAAAAGGCCCTAAATTTTTTAGGTGTATAATTAGTCTAAATCAAAATTTTTAAACCCATAAAATTTTAATTCATAAAAAAGGCCTTATGAAAATTTAAATTCAATTAAAAATAAATTTGAATAGTTTGGGTTCATTAACCCAACCCATAATATTAAAAATATACTAAAATAAATTTTTTAGAAAAAAAAAAAGAAGAAAAAACTAGGGGTTAAAAAAATAATTTTAACTAGTCAACAAAAACATATCATTTATTTGTAATTATTCTCTCTCTCTAGAGTAAACTAAGTCCCTCCCTCTCACTCACTTCCTAGTAAATACAAATTATCTTATTCTTTTTTGTGTTATATTTTTTTTTTATTTATATTATGAAAGATAAATCAAAATATTTTTTTTATTAAACTATAAAAATTAAAATCAGTAAATTNTAATTTATATTACAAAAGATAAATCAAAATATTTTTTTTATTAAACTATAAAAATTAAAATCAGTAAATTATGTTTGTTTAAAATTAAAATTGATAAAATCTTTTTTAAGATCAATTATCACAACAAAGATTAGACTATTTTAAATCTTAAAAAATAATTTTTAAATAAAAGATTATTAATATTAAAAATTAAAAGTCTCATTTGTAGTAGTTGTTTTAAGCCTCCAACGGTCTTGGACTGCCCCTATAAGCCTGTCTACCAGTTGGTTCAGATTCAAATCTGATTTTGATAGATCCAAATCTAAATGTGANTATTTTTTAAGATCAATTATCACAACAAAGATTAGACTATTTTTAATCTTAAAATATAATTTTTAAATAAAAGATTATTAATATTAAAAATTAAAAGTCTCATTTGTAGTAGTTGTTTTAAGCCTCCAACAGTCTTGGACTGCCCCTATAAGCCTGTCTACCAGTTGGTTCAGATTCAAATCTGATTTTGATAGATCCAAATCTAAATGTGATACAATAACNTAGTTGTTTTAAGCCTCCAACGGTCTTGGACTGCCCCTATAAGCCTGTCTACCAGTTGGTTCAGATTCAAATCTGATTTTGATAGATCCAAATCTAAATGTGATACAATAACTCTACTCCGAATTGAACTGAACCAAATATGCAAAGAATTTCATTTTTGCAATGCATCTATGATATTTCATCTTGACTCAATATTATCAAATAATCATTTTATTCTATCAGAATATATCTATATAATAAAGTAACTTACAATTTAAATCTCAAAAGATAAACAAAATGATTTTTATTTTTTACTGTTCAGATCACTTTAAATTTTATTTTAAAGTTAATATAACGATTAATATTAATATCCTAAATTTAATAAGAAAAATGGTCTCTAAGAATGTGTTTGGAGTGACTTTTTGAAAGCACTTATAAGAATTATTTCTTATAAGTACTTTAAAAAAAATAGTGTTTGAAATCGCCCCACAATTAGCTCTACCATCACCGTCGTCGTCGCAACCACCACTGCCACCATCACCATTGCCGCCGCCACCATCGTTGCCGTCACCACCTCCACCTTCGTCGCCACCACCACCACCGCCACTGCAGCCACCACAGTTATTGTCACCCACTATAACCATTACTGTCTCCTACCACCACCATTGTCGCCTACCACCTCTCACCCTCATTGCAATCGATTCTTAAATTCATTTATCTCTTCTCTATGTTTGTGATTTGATTTTAAATATAAATATAAATATATTTATTGTTTACTATTTTATATTACTTTGTATCTTCAGACACGTACAACAACTAGTGTACTTGTATTATAATTAACATCGCATTATAGTCAAATCAAATATCATAATATCCAAATTCAAATACCCAACAACGGATTCATATTTGGAATTGGATTCTAATTCGAATAATCACTCGAAAAATCAGTTCATAACAAATAAGGAGTTGACTATGATATCAATTTTTTTTTTTAGTACCATAATTTAATTTATCACATTTGTGAGTATTTTTATTATAGTTGTGGTACCTATACTTCACAAATATGGTAAAAACACCAACAAATATGGTAAATCACCTACAAAAATGATAACTTTTTTAGTACCGAAAAAAAAGTGATAAAAATAGTTATTACAAATGTGGTAAAAACATTTATAACAATGGAAAAAACACCCATAACAATGATAACAAAATTTTTGTTGTAAAATGATCCACAAAAATTATAAAATAATCCACAAAAGTTGTAAATATTTCTATTAAAATAGTAAAAGTTGGTGATATAGTACCAAGATTTTTTCTTTTGTACCATAGTCAAGTCCATCAAATAATCGAATTTGGATCAAAAACGGATTNACAATGGAAAAAACACTCATAACAGTGATAACAAAATTTTTGTTGTAAAATGATCCACAAAAATTGTAAAATAATCCACAAAAGTTATAAATATTTCTATTAAAATAGTAAAAGTTGGTGATATAGTACCAAGATTTTTTCTTTTGTACCATAGTCAAGTCCATCAAATAATCGAATTTGGATCAAAAACGGATTCATTAAAAAGACTTGTGTTAATCATGCACATGCCCCATAGACTAGGGTCTTCAAACTTGTTGAGGACATTCTTCTTTTTTTAATTTAATGGTCAAGGGTGTTTGAACTAATTTATGCGCACCTCAATAAATTCATTCTCTGATCAAAGACAGATCATCCACATTAAAATTGGAGTATTCATGAAAAATTTATTCCTCATGCACATTGAAACTAAAGTATTAATGAAAAATTTATTCCTCGTGGCCTGATTTTAAGAGATTGTCAAAATTTAAATTCAAAACTTCTGAATTTATAACTTCAATTGAGCTATTCTTGGGTTTCTTGTTGGGGACATCTAAAAGAATGTTGAATATTTATTCCTAAAAATAACATAGCATTTACACCTAAAAAAAACTTAGCAGAGAAGACTAAGCCAGCGGCCAAGCNGGGTGTTTGAACTAATTTATGCGCACCTCAATAAATTCCTTCTCTGATCAAAGACAGATCATCCACATTAAAACTAGAGTATTCATGAAAGATTTATTCCTCATGCACATTGAAACTAAAGTATTAATGAAAAATTTATTCCTCATGGCCTGATTTTAAGAGATTGTCAAATTTAAATTCAAAACTTCTGAATTTATAACTTCAATTGAGCTATTCTTGGGTTTCTTGTTGGGGACATCTAAGCGAATGTTGAATATTTATTCCTAAAAATATCATAGCATTTACACCTAAAAAAAACTTAGCAGAGAAGACTAAGCCAGCGGCCAAGCCTGACCAACGTGGTCCAAAACAAAGGAAAATACCTCAACGCTCGAGTAATCGAAAGAAAATAACAAAAGCAAGCACATTTCCAATCTAGGGTTGATAGTCAACTTTAATAATCAAAACAAGAGACACACGTACGTGAAACACATATAGAACAGTGGGCATTTGAATATGCCCAAGTTGAGAGAATAAATAAATAAATAAATAAATACCAAGTTGGAAATAGTCATTGCTTCAAGTATAGAGGGTTGACGGTTGGTTTAATAGCCATCATCTCCGCTGTTAGACCTTAAGATCGTAGATTCGAACCTTAGTGCATAAATGAACNACAGACACACGTACGTGAAACACATATAGAACAGTGGGCATTTGAATATGCCCAAGTTGAGAGAATAAATAAATACCAAGTTGGAAATAGTCATTGCTTCAAGTATAGAGGGTTGACGGTTGGTTTAATAGCCACCATCTCCGCTGTTAGACCTTAAGATCGTAGATTCGAACCTTAGTGCATAAATGAACACCATCAAACGAATAGAGCAAAAATATATTATAGGGTTAATATGGAAACTTGGTTACAAGGCTAAATCTATATGTGTTAATCTGTAGTGTCAACTAACAACTCTCTTGCCTGCCTCTAGCTGCTGAATACAATCCTCACAGAGGCAAGATATGCCTTAAAAGCTCAGGGTTACAGGTGACTGATTTGCCGGTTGTCAATTGAATTTTTCCATCCTGGAATGAATCACTGAGCAAAGGTCAACTCGCAACTCGACACAACACAATTAGTTAAATGAATTGAGTTAGATTTGACTAATGTTCGACACAAATATATAATAACTCAACACGAATTTGACACGACACAACTCGATTGTCACCCCTAATCTTAACCAGTACAAAAAAAAAATTAATCATTTTTATTTTTCATCCATCCTATCAAACACAAACAAATGACAGTGTATCATATCTATTTTCCTTCCTTAAATGATAGGAAGTGTATCCCTCATACGTTTCATCTTTGCTACTTTTATCACTCCTACTAAACGGAGCATTAGAGTCAAGAATATCCCTAATGAATATGACTTATCAATAGACCAGCAGCTCATGTGATATTTTCTCCTTTTGTGAATGAGCAATGTTATTTAGATATAATTTAAAAATAAAAATATTGTTTTTATTGAATTGGTAACAAGTCCAACGATATTTTTGTTGTCAATGCAAATATCAGAACATTAGGCACTTAAAATAGATTTTTGTGTACATATATGTATATGTAATATGTTAGGTTGGGGTATACATTTTTTTTTTAGGTTGGGGTATACATAGGTATCACACTGCAATACTAAAAATTGAACATTAATTGTTCAATATTTATATTTTTAATAGTAATATTTTTTATATAAATTTAATGTAGATTGAAAAAAAAAGCAGATAGGGGTAGCGAAAAGAGAAAAAAGAGACATATATAGACTAGTGGGGTTGTTTGGTATTAAGGAGGGTGTTGATTGAGTTGTTTAACATTGGGAACCATGTAAAAAAATGATATTTTTGTATTGATTTTTTTCTTTTGCATTGAATTTCGTGACGTTAGGTGAAATTAGGCAAAGATTGTTTTAATCTCAACCATTACTGTGCTTTTAAAAATATGCAATTCAAATTGCAAACTAAAATATTATATAGATATTTTATTTTTTATTTTTTAAATTTCAATATTAAAGGATCCAAATAAATGGTATAATTTTCCAATATTTGAGATTATCATCCATAATTGCAACATATTTCTCCTTCTTCATTTAGAACATTCACATTTAAAGTTGAATTTGCCTGCAACTTGAATTTTCTTAATCTCTTCCTCCAAGCTAGAATAATGTGATTTCAATTTAGACCAATAGTATTTAAAAAATACAACAAACATTAGATCTAGAGTGAAATTATATACATGGCCTTCAAATTATGATTCTTTTGTCACTAATTGTGTCAATTGAGTCATTTTATCTGTTTCCATTAAATTTTTTTATGGAAAATGGCAGAGAGCGTGTCATCCATATGACCGAGCTGCGATTCATTTGTGTCACGTGAAGTAACACACTTAGCGACTTTCTGTTAAAAAATCTGGCAGAGGCAAACAAAATGTTCAATTTGACACAATTTTGATCTATCAATTGCCACTAAAGGCTATATGACTTGGGTGAATGGGTGATTGGATGCAACCTTTTTATTAATGGCAAAGTGACTTTGTGGAGCTATACCTCGAAATGGTGTAGTGTGGTGATGGATGCACGGGTTAAGAGGGGTGGAGAGTAAAAGTCCAGTTTACAGTGAGGATTATGTAGTGGTCTGTCTTCAGTGAAACTCAGGCCTATTATTACTCTTCTCAATGTGGTGTTCTAGTGTTTCGGAATGTTTCAGCGTCTAAATACCAATATTTGCAACGTTTCAAGGGAAAAATGTTGTTTTTATCTCAAACAGGTCTTTGATTTATAGTAGGATGGTGATATCAATACAAAAGCATTACCTTGGAAAGGTTGAGAAACAAACAATCAAGTCACATATCTCTAGGATTCAATCGAATCACCATGTTGGATAACTATAATTTTATAATTCGAGATTGTGAAGTGAAATTTCCTCTAATACATTTTTTTTCAATTCTTTTTTGTGGCAGGTCATCTACCATTATGTATATCTTTGCTCATTAATAATGGATAATTCACTTATAAAATAGGGTGACGATAACAACATATCGTAGAATGAGATAACAAGTGAATCCAATGACCCATTAAACCTGACGTGTCTACAACTACATCCCTGAACATCAGTCAAACAAGGGCGTGAATGCGAGATCCCAGTGGAATGATCAACCGAATGAACTCTCCACCGAGCTTTGAGTGCCAATACGGGGGACAAAATTGCATTGAACATTGACGGGTCTCATTGGCCACAGCCCAACGAAGTGGTTTGTGACGGTGTTTCCTACAACTTGACCTAAAATACAACGGTTGAAAAACAAAAAGCATACAGAATCATGTTATGGATTGTGTCAGTTAAGCCTGCAGGGCCGGTCCTATCACAAGGCCTAGAAATCCTAGGCTTTAGGCCCATATTTCAAAAAAGGCCCTAAATTTTTTAGGTGTATAATTAGTCTAAATCAAAATTTTTAAACCCATAAAATTTTAATTCTTAAAAAAGGCCTTATGAAAATTTAAATTCAATTAAAAATAAATTTGAATAGTTTGGGTTCATGAACCCAACCCATAATATTAAAAATATACTAAAATAAATTTTTTAGAAAAAAAAAAAGAAGAAAAAACTAGGGGTTAAAAAAATAATTTTAACTAGTCAACAAAAACATATCATTTATTTGTAATTATTCTCTCTCTCTAGAGTAAACTAAGTCCCTCCCTCTCACTCACTTCCTAGTAAATACAAATTATCTTATTCTTTTTTGTGTTATATTTTTTTTTAATTTATATTACAAAAGATAAATCAAAATATTTTTTTTATTAAACTATAAAAATTAAAATCAGTAAATTATGTTTGTTTAAAATTAAAATTGATAAAATCTTTTTTAAGATCAATTATCACAACAAAGATTAGACTATTTTAAATCTTAAAAAATAATTTTTAAATAAAAGATTATTAATATTAAAAATTAAAAGTCTCATTTGTAGTAGTTGTTTTAAGCCTCCAACGGTCTTGGACTGCCCCTATAAGCCTGTCTACCAGTTGGTTCAGATTCAAATCTGATTTTGATAGATCCAAATCTAAATGTGATACAATAACTCTACTCCGAATTGAACTGAACCAAATATGCAAAGAATTTCATTTTTGCAATGCATCTATGATATTTCATCTTGACTCAATATTATCAAATAATCATTTTATTCTATCAGAATATATCTATATAATAAAGTAACTTACAATTTAAATCTCAAAAGATAAACAAAATGATTTTTATTTTTTACTGTTCAGATCACTTTAAATTTTATTTTAAAGTTAATATAACGATTAATATTAATATCCTAAATTTAATAAGAAAAAGGGTCTCTAAGAATGTATTTGGAGTGACTTTTTGAAAGCACTTATAAATATTATTTCTTATAAGTACTTAAAAAAAAATAGTGTTTGAAATCGCCCCACAATTAGCTCTACCATCACCGTCGTCGTCGCAGCCACCACTGCCACCATCACCATTGCCGCCGCCACCATCGTTGCCGTTACCACCTCCACCTTCGTCGCCACCACCACCATTGCCACTGCAGCCACCACAGTTATTGTCACCCACCATAACCATTACTGTCTCCTACCACCACCATTGCCGCCTACCACCTCTCACCCTCATTGCAATCGATTCTTAAATTCATTTATCTCTTCTCTATGTTTATGATTTGATTTTAAATATAAATATAAATATGTTTATTGTTTACTATTTTGTATTACTTTGTATCTTCAGGCACATACAATAACTAGTGTACTTGTATTATAATTAACATCGCATTATAGTCAAATCAAATATCATAATATCCAAATTCAAATACCCAACAACGGATTCATATTTGGAATTGGATTCTAATTCGAATAATCACTCGAAAAATCAGTTCATAACAAATAAGGAGTTGACTATGATATCAATTTTTTTTTTTAGTACCATAATTTAATTTATCACATTTGTGAGTATTTTTATTATAGTTGTGGTACCTATACTTCACAAATATGGTAAAAACACCAACAAATATGGTAAATCACCTACAAAAATGATAACTTTTTTAGTACCGAAAAAAAAGTGATAAAAATAGTTATTACAAATGTGGTAAAAACATTTATAA